TCTTGCCGGAGGTGACTGGCAGTGTAGCAGATAGTAGGTAAGTGGGTCTGGCTTCAGAGAGGGCTTCTGTTGACACTTGTCTGGCTGGTAGAACTCTGTGAAACTTGCACTGCAATTCCTTCTTGGCTGAGAAGCCAGGCAGGCTTACCAACCTCCCTCAATACTCTGGTGCCTGATGTTATGGTTTTTTTGTGCACCTAGAAGACTCAGACAGGCTTTTCACCTGCATTATGTGTGTGCGCGTGTCAGAACTGGCAAAAATGGTCTTCTTGTTCCACCCTGGACTTTCCTGCCCAAGAAGCGTCAAGTGTGTGGGGCGGAACACAGAGGGGATATCCACTGTGTGCTAGAAGAGTCACTGAGCCTGAGAAAGGAGAGCAGAGGCAGAGGCAGCAACAGGGTAGAGAGTTGGAGTGGCTGTGTCCCGGTCACTCAGCCCAGCCACTCAGGAAGGGCAGGGGGACCAGTTGCCAGCAGAGCACATCCCAGGTCTCGGGTTTTTTTTTTTTTTTTTTTTTTTTTTTGAGACACAGGGTTGCTGTCACCCAGGCTGGAGTGCAGTGGCATGATCTCGGCTCACTGCAGCCTCTACCTCCTCGGTTCCATTGAGTCTCCTCAGCCTCCAGAGTAGCTGGGATTACAGGCATGCTCACCATGCCCAGGTAATTTTTGTATTTTTAGTAGAGATGGGGTTTCACCATGTTGGCCAGGCTGGTCTCGGCCTCCCAGTGTTGGGATTACAGGCGTGAGCCACCATGCCCAGCCCCAAGGAGTTTTGACTGTGAGAACAGCTCTCCTCTGCTGACCCTCAACCCCAGGAGATGCTTCATCTCCTGCGTGCTTTGAGAGCTGAGGCCTGGTTTCAGTCCTGTCCATAGAGACCAACAAGCCCTCACCTTGCAGTGAGTGGGGCTGTTTCCCTGAAGCCTCGGTGCCCTGCTCCAGCTGCTCTCTTCCCCTTTTCCAAGGAGTTTGGAATTTTCCCTTGTCTCAAGCAATGCTCCCTCAAGTCTAGTGGTTATTTCAGATGGCTTCCGGGCATGCCACCAGCTAACTGAACTACATCATGAGAAAGTCATATTTCTTTCCAACTCTTTTTAAACAGGTCTCATTACTGTGTCAGAGAGAGTCTATTTGGTGCTAATGGCTATTGTCACTCCCCCCCCCCCCGTTTTTTTTCTTGAGACAAAGTCTCATTTTTGTCACCCAGGCTGGACTGCAGTGGCGCGATCTCGGCTCAGTGCAGCCTCTGCCTCCCGGGTTCAAGTGGTTCTCCTGCCTCAGCCTCCCAAGTAGCTGGGATTACAGGTGTGTGCTACCATGCCCAGCTAATTTTTGCATTTTTTGTAGAGATGGGGTTTTATCATATTGGTCTGGCTGGTCTTGAACTCCTGACCTCAAGCAATCCACCTGCCTTGGCCTCCCAAAGTACTGAGGTTACAGGCATGAGCCACTGCTCCCGGTTGTCATGCCCTTTTTAATGGAGAAGTAGCCTCAGGTCTTGGTGATCAGTTTGTGACTGCATCAGCTAGGTATTGAACTTGATGCTGTTTTATTTTCATCTTATTTCACTGTGACTGGTTGATACAGGTGATGCTGGTTAAAAAAATGTAGGAGCCATGTTTTATTTGCAATTATAGCCATGTATGATTAAAACAATTTAGAAGATGAAGTTAGTGGTATTAAAGGTGGTGAGAGGCTTAGTACATGCTCATGGTGGTATGAAAATGAAGCTGGGGAAATACCCAGGACTCAAGGGATGAAGCTTTACTCTGTGCTGGGTGCTGTCCTAGACATTCGAGTTTTTTTTTTTTTTTTTAATTTTTATTGAGACCGATAAATTTTTTTTTTCATTTTATCTTCCTCTGTCACCCAGGCTGGAGTGCAGTGGTGTGATCTCGGCTCACTGCAACCTCCACCTCCTGGGTTCAAGTGATTCTCCTGCCTCAGCCTCCTGAGTAGCTAGGATTATAGGCCTGTGCCACATTTTTGGTGAATTTTTGTATTTTTAGTGGAGACGTGGTTTCACCATGTTGGCCAGGCTGGTCTTGAACTCCCGGCCTCAGGTGATCTGCCCTTCTTGGCCTCCCAGAGTGCTGGGACTACAGGCAGGGAGCCACTATGCCCAGCCTGGGCAGGATTCTTTAGGGAAAGTTGATCAGATTCTCCCACAGATGGGACGTGGGGTATCAAGGAGACAAATGTCAAGAAGAACTAGGTGGTTTGTGATTTGAATTGTTGGTGGCCTCATCATTCTAACTGCTCAGTTGGAGAGGGTTGTGAGAGGAGCTGGTTTGGGGGTGAAGTTTTTGCTCCGTCACGGCTTGGGGTACACAGCATGTTTGGTGTGAACTGCCTGAGACATCCACGTGGGAACATGAGGCGGGTCTGCTGTTGTAAAAAGAAGCTAGGGCTTGTCAGATATGAACTGAGAAGCTATAGATGGAATTCTAAAGCGCCAAGACTAGTTGCGACCTCTCACCTAGAGGGGGAGAGAAAGATGAAAAGAGAACTAAGGCTGGGCATGGTGGCTCACACTTGTAATCCCAGGACTTTGGGAGGCTGAGGCAGGCAGATCACCTGAGGTCAGGAGTTCAAGACCAGCTCGCCAACATAGCAAAACCCTTTCTCTACTAAAAATACAGAAATTAGTGGAAAATGGCTTGAACCCTGGAGATAGACATTGCAGTGAGCCAAGATTGGGCCACTGTACACCAGGCTGGGCAACAAAGCAAGACTCTGTGTCAAAAAAAAAAAGGGAACTAAGATGCTACTCTGGGGTGGCCCAGTGGCAAGCAGGTTTTGAGGGATCAGCAGAGGAGATGAAGAGGGGCAAGCAGGTGAGGATGGGAAACCCAGGGAAGCAAGGGTGTCAGGACAGAGGCATGACGGGCTATGTCACATGCTACTGCCCCATCAGGATGTCTGGCCATTGGTGTTACCCATGGGAGGCTTCTGGGAGAGTGATGGGTAGGGGTGACAAGAACCAGCAACTCTTAACATAGAGGTTTTTGAGACAGTCTCTTACTCTGTCACCCAGACTGGAGTACAGTGTCATGATCTTGGCTCGCTATACTCTCTGCCTCCCAGGTTCAAGCAACTCTTGTGCCTCAGCCTCCCAAGTAGCTGGGATTTCAGGCATACGCCACCGCACCTGGCTCAGTTTTATAGTTTTTGGTAGAGGTGGGGTTTTGGCACTCACATACAGTTTTGTAGTAAGGGTAGCAGGGTAGATGTGGAGCTAAGAGGTTATTCCATTTGCTAATGGAGCAAATGAGAAACCTTGCAAAGAAGGATTTTTGGAGCCATGTGCTTGTGTGAACTAGATGGTCGGGTCCAATGGAGGCGTGAGCCAGAGGGTTTAGCACAGAGATGGAAGAAAGAAATGTGCAGAGGCTCAGGGAGATAGGGAGATGAGGCAGGGGGAGCTTGTGCATGTTTCATGATCATTTCTGCTTTTAAGGTAAGTAGGAAATAAGGTCCTCAGCTGAGAGTGAGGACGGGGAGGAGTGATAAGTTCAAAGAAAAAGTGAAAAAGCAGAGAGTGAGATGACGGAGGGGTCAGGCAGCCCCCGAGCAAGGCCTGCTCTGTAGGAAAAGGTGGAGAGTAGGTTTCTTTTTAAATTTTTTTTATTTTTTTGAGACAGGGTCTCACTGTCATCCAGGCTAAGTGCAGTGGCTAGATCATGGCTCACCACAGCCTTGACCTCTGGGGCTCCACTGATCCTCCCACCTCAGCCTCCTGAGTAGCTGGGATTTTAAGTGTGTGCTACCCACCCTGACTAATTTCTTTCCTTTTTTTTCTTGGAGAGTGTTGGTCTTGCCCTGTTGGCCAGGCTGTGATCTGAGCTCAAGCAATCCACCTGCGTTGGCCTCCCAAAGTGCTGGGATTACAGGCGTGAGCCCTGCGCCTGGCCAAGAATTGAGTTTCATTTGGGTTGTCCTTTTACCAAGTGCGAATGCAGCAGAGCAAGATGGGGAAGCGGATATTGAAGATGTGCGATGGGCGTGACTAGACGGCTGGCTGGGAGCCGGGTCAGAGGCTGGCAGGGGCTGCGAGAGGACGATGGCATTGTGAAGATGCCGCTGGGAACAGAGTCAAAGAAAGGTGGCTCCAAGCAGACAGTGAGATGCCTGATGGTCAAATTTTGAGGACGCCTAGAGGTACTGGTTGTGCCTGTAGGAGCAGCGGGATAACCCAGAAGGTCAAGGAACCAACAGGCTGTGTTGCACCCTGGATGTTGAGATCATGGAGAACTCTGAGGCGTGGCGTGGGCGAGAGACAGGAAGCTTGGAGCTAAAACCTCCAAGGAGCCAGCTGGGATGGATGGACAGGGTGATGGGAGCAGCGGAGACACCCCAAGGTACTAGGAACATGGGAGAGGAAACAGCCCCCACCCCAGTGACAGCAGGAATTCTCGGCAGGGAGGCAGTTGTACATCCCCAATCTCTAAAGGACTTCTGGCAACATCTGGAGACAGTTTTAGTTGTGGGGTGGGGTGCTACTGCATCTGGTGGGTAGAGGCCAGGAGTGTCGACACCTGCTACTTTCTAAGGACTCACTTTCCCACTGACCGGGAACATGCAGTGCACAGCACAGCACCCACACCCGAGAGGGAAGCAGCCCAGATGGCAGCAGTGCTGAGGGGAGAGGTCAAGTGGCAGGGGTGGTGTTGCGGCGTCAATGGATGCCGTGAGGAAGAGGCTGTAGGAGACGGGGGACAGCATGTCTTCCTCCTCCCCACCCTGAGGACGGCTAGGAGATATCGATCGTTAAAGAAACTAGAAGGGGAGCTCTGTTACCAGGCCAGGACCACTCTAGGCTTAGTGATTAAGAAGGAGCAGGAAGAAACCACAAAAGGAAGTGGTGGTGGTGGGAACGGGGGCGTCTGCAGCGATTCACTGACTCACAGTGGGCAGTGCAGGCCGACGGCAGCCTGAGCACCCAGCGCTTCTCTCTGGCCTGAGAGATGGGGTCCTTCAGGCCATGGGCTCCTCACCTGAGCTTGCTCTTGAGTGCGTTCACCTCACGGCCCATGGCCTCGTTGCTCTCCGTGGCCTCATCCAGCTCCCGCTGCAGCTTCCTGCGGTTGGCGTTGATGCGCTGGGACTCCTCCTCTGCCTCCTCCAGCTGCCTCTTGAGCTGCTTGACCCTGGCATTGCCTTTCTCTGCCTGTCATGGAGAGTGCGGGTGGTTAGGGGAAGCCCCAGGTGGGAGCCCGGGGGAGGCTGGGCAGCCAGGGCTACCTGCTCCTTGTACTGCTCGGCCATCTTGCGCTCGTCCTCCACCTGCAGCAAGACTTCCTTCAGCTTCTTGTCCTTCTGCTTCAGCGACTTGGTGGCTGCCTGTTTCTCCCTGCAAACAGCCAGGAAAACAGAGGTGGTCTCAGAGGAGGGCAGCACCCCTTGCAGCTGGTATGTCAACCAGATGTGGCACCTTGAGTGCTTTTCTGAGCCCCATATCAGGACTCCTCCCAAGGATCAGTCAGATGGTGGACTAGTATACAGCCATGAAAAGGAATAAAGTATCAGTGCATGCCACAGCATTGATGAGCCTGGAATTCTTGCTGAGTGCAAGAAGATACCAGCAGGCTACGTAGTGTGATTCCATTGATGTCAAATGTCTAGAACAGATAAATCTATAGAGACAAAGTAGATTACTATTGCCAGGGATTGAGGGATTGGCTAAAGGACATGGGTTTTGTTTTGTTTGTTTGTTTGTTTGTTTTTGAAACAGGGTCTTGCTCTGTTGCCCAAGCTGGAGTGCAGTGGAACTCCAGTGCCTGCTCTCCACCCTAGTTCATAGTTCACTGCAGCCTTGGACTCCTGGCTCAAGCAATCCTCCCACTTCAGCCTCCCAAGTAGGTGGGACTACAGGTGTGCACCACCGTGTTTAGCTGACTTTTTAAAAGTTTTTCATAGAAATGGAGTCTCAGGCTGGGTGTGTGGTGGCTCATGCCTGTAATCCTGGCACTTTGGGAGGCCAAGGCACACACATTACTTGTGGTCAGGAGTTTGAGACCAGCCTGGCCAACATGATGAAACTCCGTCTCTACTAAAGAATATCAAAATTAGCTGGGCATGGTAGTGTGTGCCTGCAGTCTCAGTTACTTGGGAGACTGAGGCAGGAGAATCGCTTGAACCCCAGAGGTGGAGGTTGCAGTGAGCTCAGATCGTGCCACTGCACTCCAGTCTGGACAATGGAGTAAGGCTCTCTGTCTCACAAAAAAAAATAGGAGTCTCGCTATGCTGCCCAGGCTGGTCTTGAACTCCTAGACTTAAGTGCTCCACCCACCTATCTCAGCCTCCCAAAATGCTGGGATTACACGCTTAAGGCCCCACATCTGGCCTGGCGTTTCTTTTTGAGCTGATGAAAATGTTCTCAGATTGACTGTGGTGATGGTTTTACATGTTTGTGAATTTATGATTAGCCCTTGAATTGGTGTGCTTTAAATGGGTGCATTGCAGGGCATATGAATTATGGAAAAAGCTGCTAGAAGAGAATTAGAATCCAATGGTTAGACATGTGCTGTGATCTTATGCCTCACTGGGACCCATAATTAAGAGAATAAGGCATCCAGTGTGTGTGCTGAATGGGTTGCCAGTTGGACTTGTGTTTTTGTTTTTTGGGTTTTTATGTGTGTGGGAGGGTCTGACTGTGTCACCCAGGCTGCAATGCAGTGGCATGATCTCACTGCAGCCTCCACATCCCACGTTTAAGCGATTCTCCTGCCTCAGCCTCCTAGTAGCTGGGGTTCTAGGCCAGCTAAGTTTTGGTACAGACAGGGTTTCACTATATTGGCTAAGCTGGTCTCAAACTCCTGAACTCAAGTGATCCACCTGCCTCTGTCTCCCAAATTGCTGGGATTACAGGCATGAGCCACAGTGTCCAGCCTGGTTGGATTGTGGGCTGTCAGCAGGCTATCCCCGCCGAGTCTGGGAAAAGCCATGTGCACTGCTGGGAAGGCTGGTTAATGCCAGGAGGACCATCGCGATGCTCAGAGCTGCTCACATTGCAGGTGATTGCTCTAGGCTGGGCACCAGCAGGGCACGTTGCTGTGTTTACATTCAGTTCTCACAATACCCCTGCACTGTGGGCACCATAGAACTTGCTTCTTAAAGTCAGAACTGATGTTGGAAGAGGTTCCCTTACTTCAGTATGGCTCCTGCTGTCACTCCCCTGCAAACTGGGTTTGGAACTCCAGACCCGTGTACCTGGCCTCCTGCTCAACCTGCTCCTCCAGCTGTGCAATCTTGGCCTCCAGTGCTGCGATGGTAGACTTGAACTTGGACTTGACGGCTCCCTCCATCTCCTGGAGCTTGCTCCGGAGCTCCTTGTTCTGGCGCTCGAGCTGCTGCCGGGCACTCTCGTTCTTCTGGGCGGCGCTGCGCTCCGTGGCTAGCTCGTTGTTGAGCTGCTCAGCCTGGGGAGGAGAGTGAAGGCTGTGAGGTGGGATCAGGGAAGCCCAGGACAGCATGCTGAGACTATGTACCTCCTCCTGCTGCCTCCAGCCTTGGTCGGCCTCTGCACAAGTCCCTTGATCCTGGGTGCCCTGACTTCATCCTGTAAAACTCCACTCAAGAGCTTCTTCCAGGCTGGGCGCAGTGGTGCACGTCTGTAATCCCAGCACTTTGGTAAGCCGAGGCAGGCAGATCACTTGAGGTCAGGAGTTCAAGACTGGCCTGACCAACATGGTGAAGCCCCGTCTCTTTTAAAAATACAAAAATTAGCCAGGCAGTGGTGGCACACACCTGAATCCCAGCTAAGCAGAAGAATCTCTTGAATCTGGGAGGCAGAGTTTGCAGCGAGCCGGGATTGCGTCACTGCACTCCAGCCTAGGTAACAGGGTGAGACCCTATCTCCAAAAAAAGCTGCTTCCACAAGTGTTATGGTGCCACCTAGGCTGAGTGAGTTACCTGTCCCTTGTTTTCTCTGTCCTGGAGTCACCTAGAGAACAATGCCTGTTTACCCTATACCATGAGGGGCTGCAGGTCACAGGATGGTCCCTAGTGCCCACCCAGTGCCTCACTGACATCACCAAGGGCTCACTGAATAAGGCCAGAGTTTCTGCTGAGGAAAGCGCAATAAAGGAGCATCCCAAGGCGCCATCAGGTGGAGGGAGCCATACATGCTGTGGCTGGAAAATCAAACACTGTAGTTGGGAGAATCATGTTCTGAACATGGCAGTCTGGGTGCAGGTGTAAGGGCCCTGGGTCCCCACTCAGGCCCTATCAACCTCTCATCCCTCAACCCGGGGCCTGCACGTAGGAAGCCAGCACGCCTGTGTTGACTGGTGCTGGATCCTGCTGCAGGATGACGCGAGGCAGCGTGGCTGCAGTGCCCAGGCGGCCCTCACCTGTTGTGTGGCTTTACGGACCCGGTCGCTCATGGCCTCCATGTTGCCCTGCTCCTCCTCCAGCTCCTCCTCCAGCTGGGAGATCCGGGCCTCCAGGCGGCGCTTCTCATCCTGGAGTGCATTCCTGGGGGAAGGGCAGCCATAGTGGGGGCCTCCACCCTCTCCCAGCTTAGAAGACACCCCTCTTTGGAGTGATGCCTCATGGAGGGGGGATTGCTGTCATCATCTAATGGGGGTAACTGAGGCTCAGAGAAGATTTGAAAACTTGTCTGTAGTTACACAGACAGGAAGTAGGGGGCTGGGACTCAGGTCAGGTCTGTGTCAGCAAAGCTGGGACTGGGATGGGAACTAATGTACTCCTCCCTGACCCTTCCCGGCCCCCCGTTGTCCCCACAAAGCTGGTTATTTGGAATGAATGAAAGTAGCCACACCCCCAAACAGGAGCATGAAAGCGCTGAGGCAAAGTCTAACCACCATGGAGCTGTCCTCAATCTCAGAGGATGCTTAGTCATCAGCAGCATCAAAAAGGTGGTCCAGGGCTGGACATGGTGGCTCAGGCCTGTAATCCTAGCACTTTGGGAGGCTAAGGTAGGAGGATCACCTGAGGTCAGGAGTTTGAGACCAGCCTGGCCAATATGGTGAAACCTTGTCTCTACTAAAAATATAAAAATTAGCCGGGCATGGTGGCACACACCTATAGTCTCAGCTACTCAGGAGGCTGAGGCAGGAGAATAGCTTGAACCCGGGAGGCGGAGGTTGCCGTGAGCCGAGATTGTGCCACTGCCCTCCAGCCTGGGTGACAGAACAGAACTCTGTCTTGAAAAATACTTTAAAAATAAAATGAGGGTCTAGGATGCTTTCCTGAGAACTGCCTCTCTTCATCCTCTGATTCAGAGTCCTCTTCCTCCATTCAATTTCCTACCTTCCTGACAGGCTGCTGGCCAGCTCCTCGGCCAGTTCCTCTTTCTCGAGGTCTGCCTGTTTGCGAGCTCTCTCAGCTGCGGCGAGGTCCTAGGTGGGTGGGAGGAAGCCTATTGTCTATAAGGGAAAAGCCAAACCCCACTGAGAGTCCACCCTGCCACCTCAGCCACCATTGAAAGTATATGTTCTTTTGAGCTCAGGGGAGCCCCATGAATACATAGAGGAGGAAAGCATGTATCTTTCTAATGGGTGGACCCCAAAGCAGGAGGAAATCTGTGGAAGCACAGGCCTGAGCTGCCAAGGGTTGCTACCATGACACCCCCATCTGAGGCTCTCCCAGTAAGTGCAAGGCTTTACCTCTTGTAGCTGCATGAGGTCTGCTTCCAAGCTCTTGGCTTTCTTCTCATTCTCTTTGGCTGTGGCAAAGATCTCATCTCTAGAGGCACGGGCATCTTCCAGCTCCCTTTGGAATTCCTTCATCTGAGCCTGCATGAGTCAACAGGAAGGACAAGCTAAGATAATCCCTACTCACCCAGGTTCTGCTGCCCAACTTAGCTTTACATGCCCACCCCTTAGGTTTTCTGCAATTGACCACAAAGAAGTCCCCATTGCAAGCCAGGCACGGTGGCTCATGCCTTCACTTTGGGAGGCGAAGGAGGGCAGATCACGAGGTCAGGAGATCGAGGCCATCCTGGCTAACAAGGTGAAACCCCGTCTTTACTAAAAATATAAAAAAGTAGCTGGGCAGGGTGGCACATGCCTGTAGTCCCAGCTACTCAGGAGGCCGAGGCAGGAGAATAGCTTGAACCCTGGAGGAGGAGGTTGCAGTGAGCCAAGATCGCACCACTGCACTCCATCCTGGTGACAGAGTAAGATTCCATCTCAAAAAAAGAAGTCCCCATTGCACAAGCATGTGCAATGCTTGTTCCAGGTGGCTGGTGATGGGCTGGGAGCACCATTCTGGGTAAGCTCCACAGACCTGCCTGAGAAGCTGAGCCCCTGATGTGATTGGAGAGCAGTGGCCAAACCCTGAATGGTGTTGGAGAAACCCTAGCTGAACCCACACCAATGGCAGGTGTGGGCTTGCTTCCTGGAGCCTGCTCTACTCACTTTGGTGACCTGCAGGGAACCGTGCCCTCCCTCCACCCATGCCCGGAGCTCCTAGTGTCACCCACCTGCAGTTTGCGTAGCTGCTTAATAGCCTCCTCCCTCCCCTTGATGGCTGAGTCGGCCTGAAACTCCAGGTCTTTCAGGTCCCCTTCCAGCTTCTTCTTGGCCGCGGCCGCCAGCGCACGTTGCTTTCGCTCGTCTTCCAGTTCTGTCTCATACTCATGAAGCTGGGAGGGGAAGAGAGATGGGTGCTGCCCTGCTGTCCCTGGGAGGTCCTTTAGTTCCCCCAGGTGGCATGCCACTGCACCCCTGCCCTAGCACAGCCCCCCTGCGAGGCAGGCATCTCATCCCCCATTGCAGATGAGGAAATGGAGGCTCGCCAGGCATGGGTGACTCATGCCTGTAATCCTAGCACTTTGGGAGGCCAAGGTCAAGGCAGGCAATCACTTGAGGCCAGGAGTTCAGGATCAGCCTGGCCAACGTGGTAAAACCACTCCACTTACCAAAAAAAAAATTGCTGGGTAAGGTGGCATGCACCTGTAATCCCAGCTACTTGGGATGCTGAGGCAGGAGCATCGCTTGAACCCCAGAGGTGGGAGTTGCAGTGAAAATAGATTGTGTCACTGCACTCCAGCCTGGGCGACAGAGTGAGACTCTTGTTTCAGAAAAAGAAAATAGAGTTTCCATACTGTTCATGAGAAGTGGTGATGAGAAAGAAAAAGCCCACCCACCCTCCCCACTCCTGGCCTCCCCAATCCTGGCCTCCCCAGCAGCACACACCTGTCTCTGGAGCTGCCTTCTCTTCTCCTCATTCTGCTCATCCCGGGCTTGGAGATCTCTCTCATACTGGCCCTTGAGCGCCTGCATGTTGACTTCCAGCCGCAGCTTGGCGTCCTCTGTGGCCTGCAGCTCATCCTCCAGCTCTTCCAGCTGCGTCTTCATCTCCTCCATCTGGGTCTCCAGGGCCCTCTTGGACTTTTCCAGCTCATGGACCTGCCGGCAGAGCGGGCAGTCCCATTCCCTGAGGCTCAATTTCATAAAGACGGTTGAGAAACCCCCCGTGAGCAGTAGCTCACAGCCCAGGGAGGTAGCTTTGGCCTCCTGCAGGGTGCATGGCTGGGACTCAAGGTGGCCCCTGAGAGTTTAGACCCCAGCCTTGCCCTCGGACCCCCCCAACCTAGACCCATCCTCCACTGCCGTCCTCAGCCCCTCCTGGTCTCTACTCCAGTCTAAAAACCTTCCATTTCTTATGATAGTTCACTATGAAAAAGACCCAGAGCCAGGCTCCCATGGCCTGGTGAGCAGCACAGAGGCTCCGTGGGTGAAACATGGACAAGAAAAACCACCGGGAGCCACTTACGTTCTTGCCCACGTCATCCTTGGAGCTGACCAGATCTTCCATTTCAGCTTTGAGCATTTTGTTGGTCCGCTCGAGCTCCTCTTTGGCTTCCAAGGCCTCTTCCAGGGCCCGAGCCAGGGACAGGGCCTTGGTTTCCTTCTCCCTGGCTTCTGCCTCGGCTCTGTCCCTCTCATCCGCGTATTTGGAGGAGATGTTTTTCTCCTCTGCTAACAGCTGCAACACAGATGAGACCCAGAGGTGACTTCTAGGTGTATGCCGCGGTCAGCGTCACTGAATTGTAAACACAAGGGTAAAGCCCCATGTCCTACTGAGTGTATCGAGGTGCGAAGGTAAGCAATATAGGAATCTATGGAAGTGGTTTATATACTCACCATCTTGCTTCTACATCAACCTTATGCAGAGCCAGAAATTAGCAGAATTGTTTGTTTGTTTGTTTTTTAATTGAGATGGAGTTTCGATCTTGTTGCCCAGGTTCTGGGGTGTAATGGTGTGATCTTGGCTCACTGCAACCTCTGCCTCCTGGGTTCAAGCAATTCTCCTGCCTCAGCCTCCTCAGTAGCTGGGATTATAACCATGTGCCACCACTCCTTGCTAATTTTTGTATTTTTAGTAGAGACAAGGTTTCACCATGTTGGCCAGGCTAGTCTGGAACTCCAGACCTCGAGTGAGCCTCCTGCCTCAGCCTCCCAAAGTGCTAAGATTACAGGCGCGAGCCACCGCATGTGGCCAAATCCTTGTGCTTTGAAAACCACTAAAGCTGCCCATGTTGCTTAGAGCACACTGAGGTCAAAATGACATTTAAAGCTGCCAGAGCCAATTATTAATTTGTTTCATGGCCACGAGTAGCTATTAATATGTCACAAAGGTATCCTAAGAGCCTTAGTAGGGAAACGGTCAGGGTGAGTGGACCTGCACATATCTCTCTCTGCTTGGAGAAGCAACTCAGAGAACATTCCATGCTCGCGTGCATCTCATCTTCAGAGAGGACAGAGCAGTAGATTATAAATTGTAACATCCAAGAGCCAAACTTGCAGTATTCAGCAAATACAGGGACCTCTCAACAGCACACTCAACATGAAAGTCCCACACTGTGTATGACACTGCACTACACTCAAGTGACAGGAAAATAACAAAAGCAACCTCAGGCCTTCAACCAGATAATGAGACAGTGAAGATGAGCTGACGGCCCAGAGGAGGGGTGGCTGATGAGAAAAGGAGGAATTGGGATGTCACCTAGCATCCTGACATCATGAGGCCAGTCAGGAAGGTGTAAGGAACCCTCAGGGATCTGGCATTTCACCTCATTGTACAATCCTCAAGCTGATTTTTATTTTTATTTATTTCCGAGACAGAGTTTTTGCTCTATCACCCAGGCTGGAGTGCAGTGGAGTGATATCAGCTCACCGCAGCCTCCGCCCCACCCTGGTTCAAGCAGTTCTCCACCTCAGCCTCCCGAGTAGCTGGGATTATAGGCATGTGCCACCACGCCAGGGTAATTTTTGTATTTTTAGTAGAGACAGTTTCACCTTATTGGCCAGGCTGGTCTTGAACTCCTGACCTCAGGTGATCTGCCCACCTTGGCCTCCCAAAGTGCTAGGATTACAAGCATGAGCCATTATGCCTGCCTCTCAAACTGATTTTTAGAATAACCCTGAGTCACTTGTAAACTAAATCATATTTACTAATCTTAAAAGCTGGTATTTAGGGGTTTGGGTCATACAGGGGTATGCATTTATTATATACTTAAGATTTGTGCATTTCATCACATGTAAGTTTTACTGCAAAATTATGTTTAAAAATGAACTCTAATTAATATGCAGTGTTGGGGTATAGAAGGGGAAATGTACAGATGTCTGTAATTTGCTCTGAATGCACCCAAGAGATAAGGCATGACAGACAGAATTAGTCCTTATATATAAATATGTAGGCCAGGTACAGTAGCTCATGCCTATAATCCCAGCACTTTGGTAGACCAACACAGGTGGATCACCTGAGGTCAGGAGTTTGAGACCTGCCTGGCCAACATGACGAAACCCTGTCTCTACTAAAAATACACAAATTAGCCAGGCAGGTTGGTGCACTTTTGTAATCCTGGCTAGTTAAGAGGCTAAGGCAGGAGAATCGCTTGTATGGGAGGCAGAGGTTGCAGTGAGCCAAGGTGGCACCGCTGTACTCCAGCCTGGGCAACAAGCAAGACCCTGTCTCAAAATAAATAAATACGTGATAAAGTCCATATACTACAGTGTCAATGACTGAATCCAGGTGGTGGCTGTACAGGTGTCCATTGCATGATTCTGTCAACTTTGCTGTGTGCTTGGAATTTTACAGAATGAAATCTTAGGGAAGAGTGGTATTAAAAGTATAAAAACTGGCTGGGCGCAGTGGCTCACGCTTGTAATCCCATCACTTTGAGAGGCCAGTGGGTCACCTGAGATCAGAGGTTTGAAACCAGCCTGGACAACATGGTGAAACCCTGTCTCTATTAATAATACAAAAATTAGCCAGGAGTGATGGCACATGGTAATGATCCCAGCTACTTGGAAGGCTGAGGCAGGAGAATTGCTTGAACTTGGGAGGCAGAGGTTGTAGTGAGCTGAGATCTCACTATTGCATTCCAGCCTGGGTGACAAGATCAAAATTCTGTCTAAAAAAAAAAAAAAAAAAAACCTATGACCTGGTAGCCTTAATGCTCCATGGTCTCCCAAGACATGAGAACCTCCCATGGCTCCCACAGAGCAGAGAGGGGAAGCAGGCACAGGCAGAAGCCATGTGTAACACTCTGCAGAGCTGACTCTCCCACCCAGCGTCCGTGGCCAGAGCAGAGGACACCCCATGCCCTCTACCTGATCGAACTTCTTCTGCTTCTTTTCCAGGTTGGACACGAGTTGCCGCTGGTTGTCCAAATCAACGACCAGGTCATCCAGCTCCTGCTGAAGCCTGTTCTTGGTCTTTTCCAGTTTATCATAAGCGGCCGCCTTCTCCTCGTACTGCTGGGTGAGGTTCTCGATCTCCTTCTGGAACCTCTTCTTCCCCTCTTCCAGCGCTTCCACGGTGCTGGCAAAGTCCTGCAGCTTCTTCTTCGAGTCAGAGAGCTACGAGGGCAGCGTCCGGGGTAGGGTGAGAGGGGCTGTGAATGATCCCCGTCCCTGCCCCCTACAGACTCTGTGAAGTGAAGACCATGTCTGCTTGCTGGGGAAACCCAGTTGTCCAACTGCAGGGGACGCTGCGGATCAAGCACCATGGCACCAGTGCCCCACTGCGATCTGCCTTAGGGGCTCTCGGCACAGAAAAGCTGAGGGGACCCGTGACGGAAGCGAGGACACAGGGCAGGCACCTGGATGTTGAGAGTGGAGATGTGGCGCTCCAGGTTCTGCTTGGCCTCCATCTCCTCGTCCAGCTGGTCTTGCAGGCTGTTCCTCTCCTCCTCCAGCTGGCGCAGCTTGGTGGACACGTTGAGCTTCTGCCGAGTTTCTTCTTGAAGCAGCTCCTGCAAAGGGGACACACGAAGGTCCAGGGACCTGCCCTGAGGAAGGCCACCCTCCAGGTTCCCGGGATGATGTGGCAGGACACTCACCTGGGTGTCCTGGAGCTGGGACCCGAGGGATGCCACGTCCTTGGCCAGCTTAATGGCCTTCCCCTCGGCCTCGTTAAGCATCCCTGTGACGCTCTCGACTTCAATCTGAGGGTGCCGGGAGACGGGTTAGTCAAAGCCTCTAGAATGGGATCCTCGCTAAATAAGAGGAGCTCTTTTTACTCAAAACATATGGTGTACCCTCATGGGCTAGGACTTGGGTGTCCACTGATTGAGAAAATACCCACGAGGTATGGGACTCTGATGTTAAAAAACAAAAACAGAGAAATCTCTGTGGCAAGAAAGAAACTCCATCACCTACGAGTTGTGACACTGGCTCCAGACTCTGTCATTCCAAGAACTTATTTGAGCCCCAATTGTATTGACTGGGCCCTGATCCCACTAAATGGACCCTGGATCCCTGCCAAGGTTGGTAGAAACAAAGCAGTAGGTGTGAGAGTCTAGATGAGGTGCTCTGTCCGGTCCACTCTAAGGTTGGAGAGGGGAGACCAGGATGGTACTTGAACATCCAAGGGATGCTGTCCTGTCCCCTCCTTCCTCACTCCTACTTTTTGTCTCTTCACTGATCCTGATGGCCAAAGTCAGAGACGAGGTGCAGACCCTATAGATCAAAATGCCCTCTGCATTCTCTGGCTTTTTTACTGCCTGGTGTCTTTGCACAAGTCCCTTGGAAGGTATTAGCCTCCCCTCCATCTCCTCCATGGACAAGGAGGATATGAGTGATCTTCATGCTACGCTTACAGGACACTGCTTATAGGAGGGCAGCAAAACCCCTTCTCTCAACCGCATGTGGAAAAAACAGCTCACTGAATGCTTCCCCTGCCCCTTGGTCCCAGGCTGTGAACATGTTAAATATTCAGGAACACTCTGGCCACATCCCATGAATGGAAAGTCAGGGCAAATGTCTATTCCAGCAAAAGACGACAGACAGACCATGTCATTCGTCAGCTTCAAACCCCTCAACTGCTTGGCAATCGCCCAGATTAAGGACCAACATATGTGTAAGAGGTTCTCAAAAGGCCTGCATCATCTGGGTACCACCTCCCCCTCCAGTCCCACTCTGTACTGTCCCCCACCCGAAACTCCAACCCCACCTGGCCGCTCCAGATCTACTAGCTGTATGTCTCCTCATTTTTCTACTTACCACAGGCCTTTGCACATGTTCTTCCTGCCGCCTGGTAGACTTACCCATGTTCCTTAAGGAAGCCTTTTGTGGCTCCTCCTCCCCCAGGTTGGGCCTCCTGGTTATTTACACTTAGACATCATGTGCCTTCCCTTTGCTGTATCATTTGACATTCATTTGTGTGATTATTCATGTCTTTCCCTTCCCTTCCCCCTATTAGGCTGGAGTCCTACTGGGGCAGGGACAGTGCCTCTCCTTCCTTGCTGTTGTATCTCAGGATTAAGCACAGTGCCTGTCATACAGCAGGTGCTCAATAAATACTTGTCAAAATGGCAAAGCAAAGTTTTTTTTTTTCCTCCCCCTGAGACCGAGTTTTGCCTTTTTGGCCCAGGCTGGAGTGCAGTGGCGCGGTCTCGGCTCACTGCAACCTCAGCCTCCTGAGTAGCTGGCATTTACAGGTGCACGCCACCACACCCAGCTAATGTTTGTATTTTTAGTAGAGATGGGATTTCACCATGTTGGTCTGGCTGGTCTTGAACCCCTGACCTCAGGTGATCTACCCACCTCGGCGTCCCCAAGTGCTGGGATTACAAGCGTGAGCCATTGCACCCAGCCAGAAGGTTTTTTAATATTTAATTGAACAGGGCGATCATTGCCTCCCCTCCAGGAATGCAGCTAGAGGAAAGGACTTGCACGCAGCAAGAGAGACCTCGGCCAGCTGGCAAGAGGCTCCTCCCCACAAAATGGGCCTTACCTGCAGCTTGTGGACCTTGTCATTGAGCTCGGCCCGGGCCCGCTCCCCATCGCTGCATTTGGACTGCAGCTCCTGCACCTGCGCCTCCAGCTTCTTCTTCTTGTGTTCCACCTCCTGCTTGGCCTGGCCCAGGACCCGCAGCTCCCCGGCCAGGTCTGCGTTCTCCTTCTCGAGCGTCTGCTTGTTCTTGTCTAGGTTCGCCTTGGCCTGGTCAAGGAAGTGGAGGGGAGGGAAAGCAGGGCAGCTGTGGCTGGGAGAGCATTTCAGAACCTGCCCTTTCCTCCCTTACATCGGTCCAGGGAGGCATATGGCAGCAGGCACAAAATCACCAGTAAGATATTTGGGGCTTTTGGGGGGCGTGGGGGTATTTTTTTGAGGTAGTCTCTCACTCTGTCACCTAGGCTGGAGTGCAGTGGCACGATCTTGGCTCACTACAACGTCTGCCTCCTGGGTTCAAGCAATTCTCCTGCCTCAGCCGCCCAAGTACAAGTAGATGGGATTACAGGTGCCTGATATCACGCCTGGCTAATTTTTGTATTTTCAGTAGAGATGAGGTTTCACCATGTTGGCCAGGCTGGTCTCGAACTCCTGACCTCAAGTGATCACCCCATCGTGACCTCCCAAAGTGCTGGGATTACAGTAGTGAGCCACCACGCCTGGCCGGTATTTGGGATTCTATTTTTCTAAAGCTCCTGGGTTGCAATCTGGGATCCTGCAAGCTGTGTTCAACCTGCTGTCATGTCCCCTTGACCCATTCACTACTTTTAAGAAAATGACTTGCCAGCGTTTGAATAAATGTTACATGCAATTCTGGATTCCCAGCTTCTTTTTCAAAAAACTTTAATGTTTGAAGGCCCATCATGGCAGCTCACAGCTGTCATCCCAGGACTCAGAAACAGGTGGCAGGATTGCTTGAGGCCAGGAGTTCAAGACCAGCCTGGACAATGTAGTGAGACCCCCATCTCCACTAAAATAAAACATTAGTCAGGTGTGGGGGCACACGCCAGCAGTCCCAGCTACTTTAGAGGCTGATGGCAGGATCGCTGGAGTTGAAGGAGCTGAAGACTGCAGTGAGGCATGATCACACTACTGCACTCCAGCCTGGGCATCAAAGTGAGACCCTGTTTCAAAAATAGGTAACTTTGGGAGGCAAAGGCAGATAGATCACTTTCAGTCAGGAGTTTGAGACCTGCCTGGCCATCATGGCAGAACCCCGTCTCTACTAAAAATAGAAAAATTAGCCAGGCGTGGTGGCGCATACCTATAGCCCCAGCTGCTTGGGAGGCTGAGGCACAAGAATCGCTTGAACCCGGTAGATGGAGGTTGCAGTGAGCCAAGATCGTGCCACTGCACTCCAACCTAGGCAACAGAGTGAGACCCCATCTCAATAAATAAATAAATAAATAACTCTAACATTCTACATTGTGACTGTGGTGGTGGTTACACAACATACATTAGTTAAAATTAATGGAGCTGTAAAACTGATACATTTTACTGCATATACCTCAATAATCCTGAACTGATCTGGAAATGGGGGGGTCTTGCCATTCTTCAAGGCAGCAACCTGCCAGATCTAAGTAGTGGCTGACCCGGCTGGTGGGGTGGTGATATTTCCTTGCCCTGTCCTTCACAGGTGTCGTGTGATTTACACCGATAATTCTGCCCTAGTTAAGGGAAACTTATTTTATGGAACCGGCTCCTGTACGCATGTTAAGTTGACCTACAGAAAAAAAAAAAGTGTGTTGGGGCTGGACTTGGTGGCTCATGCCTATAATCCCAGCACTTTGGGAAGCTGGCGCAGGCAGGTCACTTGAGGTCAGGAGATTCAGACCAGTCTGGCCAACATGGTGAAACCCCTTCTCTATTAAAAATACAAAAATTAGCTGGGTATGGTGGTAGTTGCCTGTAATCCCAGCTACTCAGGAAGCTGAAGCAGGAGAAGTGTCTGGACCCGGGAGGCAGGGGTTGCAGTGAGCCACTGCGCTCCAGCCTGGGTGACAGAATGAGACTCCATCTCAAAAAAAAAGCAAAGTGTCTTGGACAAAAGCAGGATGGCGTGGGGGACTCCTTTCCTGGTTGTAGAGAGGGAGAAAGAAGCAAGGGAGAAGTGCACGGGTCCGAGGGGAGAGGATCCACCACTCCGCTTTCCCATAGTCCCTGGGAAGCGCTGGGCATTGACTGGGTAGCCCTGGAAGCCAGCCCTCCCCTCCAGACTTGACTAAGTTGCTGGTCCTCAGATGGAAATGAGGCACCTCTTAGTGGTAACGGTGGTGAAGCGGGGCAGGGGGGAACTGGGGCCAGACCGCATGACGGCTCAGGGCAGCTCAGGTAGGAGCTGAGGTTAAATGTTTCCCCCACCAGCAGATGGAACCAGGGCTCTACGTCAGAACTCAAGTTGTTCGAAGCAAAGGCCTCTTTTTCCCTGCACCTGAGATGGGCAGAGGCTCGAACCTCCACCTGCTTCATGCAGTTCAGGAACAGACGTGCCATCTGCTGATGGTCATGCTAATAACTGTATCTTCCCAAAGAGGCCTGGCTGGCAATGGGCTTGGCTTCCAGCTCATGTCTAACTATCCCCAGGCATGGTGATGGTCAGTGACTCTGTGCCTCATCCTTCCAACCATAAAGTTTTTTTTTTTTAAATTGAGTCTCACACTCTGTCACCCAGGCTGGAGTGCAGTGGCACAATCTTGGCTCACTGCAACCTCCGCCTCCCAGGATCAACCAATTCTCCTGCCTCAGCCTCCCAAGTAGCTGAGATTACAGGTGACTACCACCATACCTGGCTACTTTTTGTATTTTTAGTAGAAACGAGGTTTCACTATCATTAGGCTGGTCTCGAACTCCTGACCTCCGGTGATCCACCTGCCTCGGCCTCCCAAAGTACTAGGATTACAGGTGTGAGCCACTGCACTCAACCTCCAACCATAAAGTTAAAAGGGACAAGTATGACTTACAAATGTCTTGAGGGCTAATTGTTCCTGAAGGTGGAAATAGCCCATTCTGAATAAAATTGTATAAAAATAAAAAGTAGGCTGGGAGTGGTGGCTCAGGTCTCTGATTCCAGCACTTTGGGAGGCCAAAATGGGAGGACTGCTTGAGCTCAGTTGCTTGAGGTCAGCCTGGGCAACATAGTGAGACCCCTGTCTCTACAAAGAACTTAAAAATTAGCTGGGTATGTTGGTACAAGCCTGTAAGTCCCAGCTACTAGGGAGGCTGAGGCAGGAGGATCGCTTGAGCCCAGAAGTTCAAGATTGCAGTGAGCCAAAATTGTACCTCTGCATTGCAGCTTGGGTGACAGAGTGCGATCCTGTCTCCAAAAACAAATAGTTTTCAAAAATAGTAACTTTTGAACATAACAAAGGAACACAATTGAATGGCAAAATGTATGTCTTAGTTACAAGTGGTAAAATCCAATTTGTCCAAAATACATAGAGAGTTGACAAAATGTTGAGTGTTAGTATTTAGATCCCACTCAGCAAGTAATAAGAGCCCGTTTATTTATTTGGAGAGTGAAGGTGAGCTCAGTTCCGTAGGGTGCTTTTCAGAGGGTCCTCCCAAGACCACCTCCATCAGGATCAAGGGCAGGCCTGGAAATTTGTACTTTAATGGGGGCCACAAGTGAAATGAAATTAGTTTGTAAAGCGCTTGGAATAGTGTCTGGTACATAAGTGCTACACTTCTTATTGTATTATTTTACTTATTATTTTTATGTGAAATAACACTTGAGGTTCCAACAGACCAGGCAGTGAACTGGCTCCCAGGAAGGTATTCAGGTAAATCAGCACATGGAAGAATGTTCACCTTGACTAGTTGGCACGTTTTAGATCTATGTCCACATCCAAACCTCAGGTTCAATTGTAATCTCAGCCAGGTGTGGTGGCTCATGCCTGTAATCCCAGTACTTTGGGAGGCCAAGGCAGGCGGAGCACCTGAGGTCAGGAGTTTGAGACCAGCCTGATCAATATAGTGAAACCTCGTCTCTGCTAAAAATACAAAAATTCGCTGGGCGTGGTGCTGGGTGCCTGTAGTCCTAGCTACTCGGGAGGCTGAGACAGGAAAACTGCTTGAACCCAGGAAGCAGAGGTTGCAGTGAGCCAATATCATGCCACTGTACTCAAGCCTGGGCGACAGAGCAAGACTCTGTCTCAAAAACAACAACAACTGTAATCTCATGTTCAATTGGATTACAAGGTTCTTCAGGCTGTACAGGACCACTGGATTACAACTGAACATGAGATTTGTGGGGACACAGATCCAAACCCTACCGACCAGTCAAGGTGAACACTGGGGCCTGGTGGGATGTGACTGGATCCTGGGGGCAGTTTCTAATGGTTTAGCACCATCCCTTTGGTGCTGTTCTCATGAGATCTGGTTGTTTAAAAGTGTCTGGCACCTCCCCACTCTCTCTCTTCTGCCTGCTCTGGTCATGTAAAATGTGCCTACTTCCGCTTTGACTTCCACCATGATCATAAGTTTCCTGAGGCCTACCCAGAGCAGAAGCTGCCATGCTTTCTGTATAGACTGCAAAACTATGAGCCAGTGAAACCTTTTTTCTTTATAAATTACCCAATATTCGGCTAGGTGCAGTGGCTCACACCTGTCATCCCAGCACTTTAGGAGGCCAAAGCGGGCAGATCACCTGAGGTCAGGAGTTTGATACCAGCCAGGCCAACATGATAAAACACCGTCTCCACTAAAAAAAAAAGAATAGAAAAGAAAAGAAAAATTATCCTGGCCTAGTGGTGTACTCCTGTAGTCCCAGCTACTTAAGAAGCTGAGGCAGGAGAATGATATGAGCCCAGGAGGTGGAGGTTGCAGTGAGCAGAGATCACGGCACTGCACTCCAGCCTGGTTGACAGAACGAGATGCCATCTCTCAAAAAATAAATAAATAATCCAATCGAGTATTTCTGTATAGCAATATAAGAACGGACTAATACATTAGCAAGAGAACCAAATGAAAACTCCCAACAATTTTTAGGCAATGCTGCGCCCGTTTAATCTAGCAGAACCAAAAGCCTTCACTGAAGGGGATATGGAAGAGCTGGAGTGCTGAGGGTGATATAACTCAGGCCTTCAGGAAAACAGTCTGGCAGAGGCCACAAGCTAAAAGACTTACCCTGGGAAATGAAGCACAAGGAGCTACCCCACAGGAGAGAAAAGCACCCAAGATTCACATTCAGTAGTGCTATTTCCCAGCTCCAACTCCCATACACCCCAAAAAGCCCAACAGGACAAAAAACGATTTGACCTAGTCATTCTCAAACGACGCCAGAGAGTGCTGTTCTGCCACTGAAATCAATAATGCCAGTTTTCCTCCAATCTTTTTTTGTTTTTTTTGAAGAAAAATAACTATGTTGCCCAGGCCGATCTGAAACTCCTGGGCTCAAGGATCCTCCCTCCTTGGCCTCCCAAAGTGCTAAGATTACAGGCACACACCACCATACCTGGCTAATTTTTTGTATTTTTAGTAGAGATGGGGTTTCACCATGTTGGCCAGGCTGGTCTCAAACTCCTGACCTCAACTAATCTGTATGCCTCAGCCTCCCAAAGTGCTGGGATTATAGGCTTGAGTTACCACGCCTGGCCTAATTTTTTTTTTTTTTTAATTTTAGTAGAGACCAGGTCTCACTATGTTGCCCAGGCTGATCTTGAACTCCTGAAGCTCAAGTGATCCTCCCGCCTCAGCCTCCTAAAGTACTAGAATTACAGGTGTGAGCCACCACACCCAGCCTTTATGGGAAGCATTTTGTAAATAAATATAAGCTGCTATCATCATCATTCCAATCTTACGTAACTTGTTTTTGTCTTTATACAGAGCCTGCCATGTAGTAATTTGACACTGCTGGTGTCACTCTTACACGCTATCACCAAAAAGCATCACCACTTACCCTCTTGAACTGCTCCAGCTGCTCTGTGAGCTCCTCCACCGCCTGTGCATGTTTCTGCCTCATCTCCTGGACCTGGGCCTCGTGGGACCGCGTCTCTTCATCCAGGGCCTTCTTCAGCACTGTCACCTCTTGCTCCCTCTTGGCCCTTGACGGGAAGAACATGGTGGATGGCAATTGAGTGGAGACAGAGGGTCATCTCAGTGCCTTGCAAAACAGTAAGACCTCTTCCAGGACCCAGAGCTGGAATCCTCATCACTGTCCCTCTCTAGCTGTGTGACCTTGGGCCACTCACCTAACGTCTCTGAACCTGGAATTTCCTCAGCTGCAAAATGTGGAGCATATTACCTTCCTAGGACGTGTGTTATAACTGGCAAACAAATAAACAAAATAATAGAATTGAAAGGATGTCTGCGAGCTGCAAAATGCTGCTGAAACATTAATGTTGGCCCTTATTTACTGAGCAGTTACTGTGTGCCAGGCCCTGAGCTAAGGTTTTACATACGCCATCTAATCTTCAGAGCAACCCGAAGAGGCAGGTGTGTTATTATTTCCATTTTACAAATAGAGAAACTAAGGCTAAGAGAGGGTAAGCAGTTTCACCCATGGCGTCACAGCCACTGTGTGATGAAGCCAGAATTAGAAGCTAAACCTTGACTTTGAGTCCATGTTTCTTGTTTTGTCTTTTTTGAGATGGTGTTTCACTCTTGTTGCCCAGGCTGGAGTGCATCTCAGCTCCCTGTAACCTCTGCCTCCCGGGTTCAAGCCATTCTCCTGCCTCAGCCTCCCAAGTAGCTGGGATTACAGGCATGTGCCACCATGCCTGGCTAATTTTGTATTTTTAGTAGAGACGGAGTTTCACCATGTTGGCCAGACTGGTCTCAAACACGTGACCTCAGGTGATTCACCTGCCTCAGCTTCCCAAAGTGCTGAGATTACAGGTGTGAACCACCGTGCCTGGGCTGTTTTTTAATTTTTATTTTTATGGAGTCTCAATCTGTTGCCCAGGCTGGAGTACAGTGGCACCATCTCAGCTCACTGCAACCTTTGCCTCCTGGGTTCAAGCAATTCTGCCTCAGCCTCCTGGGTAGCTGGGATTACAGGTGCCCAACCCCACACCTGGCTAATTTTTGTATTTTTAGTAGAGATAGAGCTTCACGATGTTGGCCAGGCTGGTCTCAAACTCCTGACCTCAAGTGATCTGCCTTCCTCAGTGTCCCAAAGTGCTCGGATTTCAAGCGTGAGCCACCACGCCTGGACTTTTCTAAATTAAAGGCCAGGCAGCAAGAAAGCAGAACACTGTGCCTCTACATGCGTGTCACATGGCACAAAACCCTAAGTGGGGGAAATAAACCTCAGGGTATACGGTGTTGGCACAAATTGCATCAAAATATATCCATGTGTTTGCTGAATGAATCAATGACCTAGTTTCACTAAAGTCAGGATTCGGGATCTGGCAGGTGGTTTTTGTTGTTGGTTCATTTGAAGTGAATCTTAAATTGAAAACCAATCTGATCAATTTTATTTATAAAATTTAACACAAAAGTTATATACACACATACTTGGAAATTGGAGCTTGGGGACTGACTGATACATGAAGGAATTTATAAAAAATATTAATTGGTGTCACTAAGGATAATTTTTTTTTTTTACATGGAGTCTCACTCACTCTGTTTTCCAGGCTGGAATGCAGTGGCACGATCTCGGCTCACTGCAACCTCTCCCTCCCAGGTTCAAGCGATTCTCCTGGCTCAGACTCCTGAGTAGCTGAGATTACAGGCACGCGCCACCACAGCCAGCTAATTTTTGTATTTTTAGTAGAGACAGGGTTTCACCATGTTGGCCAGGCTGGTCTTGAACTCCTGACCTCAAGTGATCCACCTGTCTTCAGCCTCCCAAAGTGCTGAGATTACAGGCGTGAACCTGACCCTAAAGGTGATTTTTTTTTTAGTTTTCGAATTGTTCTCTCAGTGAGTATATCCAAGTTTTCTAACTAGGATGGTTTTGATTGCAGCCTGACACAAAGTCATAAACTTTCTTAAAACATGAGATTTTTTTTGCGATTTAAAATTTTTTTTACCTCATCATCTATCATTAGTATATTTTATGTGTGGCCCAAGACAAATCTTCTTCTTCCAGTGTGGCTGAGGGAAGCCAAAAGATTAGACTCACCTAGTGTATACTACTTTTGTGATGAGAAATAAGATGATGAGGGTGGGGTGCAGTGGCTCACACCTGTAATCCCAGCATTTTGGGAGGCCAAAGTCAGTGGATCACTTGAGGTCAGGAGTTCAAGTCCAGCCTGGGCAACATGGTGAAACCCAGTCTCTACTAAAAATACAACAATTAGCCAGGTGTGATGGTGGGTGCCTGTAATCCCAGCTATTCGAGAGGCTGAGGCATGAGAATCGCTTGAATCTCAGAGGCAGAGGTTGCAGTGAGCCAAGATTGCACCATGCACTCCAGCCTAAGTGACAAAGTGAGACTTAAAAAAAAATAAATAAATAAAAGAAAAGAAAAAAAAGGGAATTTTTTTTTTTTTTTGAGATAGAGTCTTTGCTCTGTCATCCAGGCTGGAGTGCAGTGGCATGATCTCGGCTCACTGCAACCTCTGCCTCCTGGGTTCAAGCAGTTCTCTCCCTCAGCCTTCCAAGTAGGTGGGACTACAGGCACCTGCTACCATGCCTGGCTAATTTTTGTATTTTTAGTAGACACAGGGTTTCACCATGTTGGCCAGTCTGGTCTTGAACTCCTGACCTTCTGATCCATCCTCCTCGGTCTCCCAAAGTGCTGGGATTACAGGCATGAGCCACCGCGCCCAGCCAAGCAAAGAAAAAAAAGAAAGATGAGAAATAGCCATGCTTCTACAAGTTAAAGCAAACTGCATCCAGGAAGGGAAATGCACGGGGGCTGAGAAGTCCTGTGACGCAGGATTTGCTTTGGGTTTGTCCCCTCTCCTACGCCCATCCCACTGGTGTGGCAGGCCAGCAGGATGGTGGGGTCGGCGGGCCCCTCACCTGAGCTCCTGCTGGGTGGCCGTGCTGTCCAGGGTGTCCTCCAGCTCTGTCTTCAGAGCCTCCAGCTCTTCGCCCAGGTCTCGCTTCTGCTTTTCAGCCTTGTTCCTGGCGGCCCGCTCCGAGTCCAGGTCCTCCTGGAGGTCCGAGATATGGCCCTCCAGCTCCCGGATCTTCTTCAGGGCATTGTTCTTCTGAGCGATTTCATCGTCAAGCCTGTCAGGGACAGACCCACCAGAATCAACCCCCAGGACCCTTTGTTTTTTTCTCTTATAATGTGACCAAAAATGGTTTTCTGGGACCAGACACATGTTACAGAGACATCCAGACACCTCCTGTCCACATCCCCAGACTGCTTCTTGCTACATCTGACTACTTGAGGTTAACATAGGATGTGAGTGCCAAGGTCTGACATCACATCAGGTTGTGTATTTGTGTATGTGTGTGTGTGTGTATGCATGTGTGCACACATGTGTGCAAAAATGCAAAGTGTTGGCCCCAGGCCAGCAAGGTGTCTGCTCACAGTGGGGGCCGCGTAGATGCTTTCTGAGTGCTGGACAGTCATTCTCCCCTGGCAGCTGCCTGTTCTTTCTGCATTTGCTCAGTGACTCAGTACCCACCCCATGTACAGCACTTGGCCAGCCACTGCTTGTGGGGAATATTCAAACGGGGGCTCTGCATCTGGGGGGGTGGTGACCACAGATGAAGGTGGGCCATAAGAAGCCCTGTGAAATGACAGAGCACTGCCCGAGAGGCAAGCACGTTGATCTTACTGTGCTTGTGAACGGGCAGCAACAGGAGACAAAGTGAGATAGTTGGATTGGGGTGAGACTGCTGAGGGTGTGTGGGTGAGACTGAGGGTGAGGCTAAGGACTCTGGCTTTTCCCTGGTAAGCCAGTGAAGTTAGGTTTTGGTTTTTTGGTTTTGAGACAGGGTCTTGCTCTGTTGCCCAGGCTGGAGTGCAGTGGTGTGATCATAGCTCACTTTAGCCTCAACCTCCTGGGCTCAAGGGATCCTCCTACCTTGGCCTCCTGAGTAGCTGGGACTACAGGCACACACCACCATGCCTGGCTCATTTTTACATTCTCTGTAGAGACAGGGTCTTGCTATGTTGTCCAGGTTGGTCTCAACTGCTGACCTCAAACAATCCTCCCACCCTGGCTTCCCAAAGTACTGAGGTTACAGGCATGAGCCACTGCATCCAGCCAGCAGTTTTTTGAGCAGGTTCATGCCCCGGAGGGGTGTTTTCTCCTCATCATCCTAGAGTCAATGCAGCACAAATTAGAAGAGAAAAGAGCCAAGTGAGGGGATCAATCAAAAAGCTTTGAGGCTTACATCCCAGCTCTACCTCTTAGAAGCAGTGATATTATACCTGTTCCATTACCCCTAGGGGGCTCGGTTTCTTCCTCAGACAAAGATACCAGCAGTACACCTGGCCTGGTGTCTGCAAAGGTATTGCTTGAAAAGAACTTAGCATAGAGTGAGCAGGTAAATAATCATTCATTGTGGCTGGTGCAGTTTCACCATTAGTGTAAAGCCAGCTAAGAGCCAGGAAGAGGGAAAAACAGAGGAAAGGGATGGGGCACATTTAGAAGGACTGGGAGAACCTGAAGATCACTGCTCACTGTGGGTCAGCAGAAGCAATGGAGGAGACTGGCATTCACAAAAAACAGTGCCCTTACAGGGAGGAGCTGAGGGAAGGAAGGGCATTCCTGCCTTAGACAGGGGCATCTGAGATGCCAATGGAAATGGACTCATTGGGCAACTGGAAATTGACCCCTTAGCAACTGGGGTCTACGTGAGAAGAGGCTGGATGTGGAAGAGGCATCGGCAATGCTGCGGGAGGCTGTCAGATCGACTGCAAAGAGACTGTGTGTTTGTAGGGAAGAGAAGAAATTGAAGGTGAGGAGCTGGGGGACTTAATGGGGTCAGGGAGGCTCATGGGAGGACTGGGCTGGGAAACAAAGTTCATACCACGGGCCTGGGGCCACCTTGACCAAGGCAGCCACTGTGAATGAGCAGGGGCCCGCGGGACATGTGAACACAGAGCAAATGCCCCTTGCCAGCCCCGCTACCTGGCCAGGGCCGCCTGCAGCTCCTCCTCCTTTTTGGCCAGCTGCATCTTGAGCTCTGCGATCTGTGCCTGGAGGTCGGCGATCTGCTCGTGGTAGTCGCTGGCATCACCCTCCAGCTTCCGTTTCAGCTTCTCCAGCTCCTGCCGGCTCTTCTCCTCCTTCTTTAGCCGCACTGTAAAAACCAGGGTGCTCTTCAGGAGGGGGAGGCCCCAGAGAGACACCTGGAAATGAGCCTTCCTGCTCAGGCATTTTACGGAGAGGAAATTCACACATCCCCTCATCCGTAACCATCACAGCCACAGCCTGTACCATTATCTCCTGATTAACATCACCTTTTATCATATTATTAGTGGATGTGTTGACTGAGGGTGATTTTGAGAGGCGGGATAGAGTTGTCACTCATGGGGTAACTGCTTTTAAAAATACCACCATTCAAGGCCAGGCAGATGCCTGTAATCCCAGCACTTTGGGAGGCCAAGGCAGGAGGACTGCAGGAGCCCAGGAGTTTGAGACCAGCCTGGGCATGATAGTGAAACCGTCTCTACAAAAATAAAAAATAAAAAAATTAGCTGGGTGTGGTGGTGCATGTCTGTAGTCCCAGCTACTCAGGAGGCAGAGGCAGGAGGATTGCTTGAGCTTAGGAGTTTGAGGCTGTAGTGAGTCACGACTGCACCATTGCATTCCAGCCTGGGCAACAGAGCATGATCCTATCTCTAAAAAAATAAAATAAAAACAAGCCCCATTCGAAACCTCTTTGGGTAGCTGGTTTACCTTCCAGTTCTGAAATCATAGATTCATGCTTGTTTTTCAGTTTGGTAAGATTCTTGGCCTTTTCTTCCTCTTCTGCAAGATTCGTCGTTAAGTCACTGATTCTCTCTTCAAGGAGTTTTCGCTCCTTTTTGGGGAAAGAGGAAAAAATGTCTTTAGTGTTTTTCTTTTCTCTAGAATCTATGTTTCACTTTTATTAATTTCCATATAAACAGTTGAAAGAAAAGCCCATGTTATAGCCAAATGCAACTAGAGTTTTAAATGGTAAAGAGAAGTCTCTCAACAATTTCCAAAATCTGGCCATTTCTCATCTCGTGCCAGTCTGTCCCTCACACTGTATGTTCAGCTAAAGGTGCCCTCCTTCCATTCCTGCCACTGGCCAGCACTTCCCTGCCCCAGAGCCTTTGCACAGTGGGCCAACCAGCTGAGATGCTCTTCTATTCCCCTCTAACTGTGCTTCTCCCTCTCCAGGTTTCTGCTTAAATGTCACCTCCTCCAGGAAGACTTCCCCGAATCCTCTATCCCCCATCCCCCATTGCCATACTCCTTTTTTTTTTTTTTTTTTTGAGATCAAGTCTCATTCTGTTGCCCAGGCTGGAGTGCAGCGGTCCGATCTCAGCTCATTGCAACCACCGCCTCCCAGGTTCAAGTGATTCTCCTGCCTCAGCCCCCAGAGTAGCTGAGATTACAGGCACGGACCACCACATCCAGCTAATTTTTTGTATTTTCAGTAGAGATGGGGTTTCACTATGTTGGCCAGGCTGGTCTCAAACTCCTGACCTCAGCTAATCCACCTGTTTCAGACTCCCACGTGCTGGGATTACAGGCATGAGCCACCGCACCCAGCCTGCTGCACTCTTATAATACGGTGAACATCTCCTTCAGAGCCCTGATCACCGTGGTAAATGGTAGTTATTTGCCATCTCACTAGAGTATAAGCCCCACGATGACAGGGTCCTCCTTCACCATGTATACCTGCATCTAATAGCCTAGTTCACAGTAGGGGCCAAATTGACATCTAGCTCAAAGAACTCAGAGCAGGACCCTTCATGGACTACTGACTAGGGTGACCAGCTTGTCCTAGTTTGCCAAGGGCTTTTCTGCTTTGAGAACAGAAAGACCCAAATCCCCCAAATCGCCCCAATTCTGGTGAGCCTGTCATTTTCAACGCAGAAGCTTGATTCCACTCTTTTTTTTTCTTGAGACCGAGTCTCACTCTGTCACCCAGGCTACAGTGCAGTGGCATGGTCTCGGCTCAGTGCAACCTCCGTCTCCTGGGTTCAAGCAATTCTCCTGCCTCAGCCGCCTGAGTAGCTGGGATTACAGGCATCCATCATCTTGCCTGGCTAATTTTTGTATTTTTAGTAGAGACGGGGGTTTCACTCTGTTGGCCAGGCTAGTCTTGAACTCCTGGCCTCAAGTGATCTGCCCCCTTCGGCCTCCCAAAGCGCTGGGATTTGGCGTGAGCCACTGTGCCCAGCCCTTACTCACTTTTGACAGTTTGTTGTTTTGATCATCCATAACCAGGATCTCATCCTCCAGTTTCTTGATCTTGGCCTCGGCCGTGACCTTCTCAAGTTGCAGCTTCTGCCTTGCAGCTTCCTCCTCCTCCAGCTGCTCTTCAAGGTCCTTTGTTGTGGAGGGAAAAGAATAACAGCTTTGATTATAACAAATTTACTCTCGTGGTGATCTTGGGACTAATGAGCACAGGGGCTATACCTGATGATGCCCAGAATTCTGGCCTCCTAAAAAGAAGATATAAAAGGTCTGGGCCTGAGCCTGGGCAGGGTGGCTCACACTTGTAGTCCTAGCACTTTGGGAGGCCCAGGGGAGTGGATCACTTGAGGTCAGGAGTTCAAGACAAGCCTGGACAACATGGTGAAACCCCATCTCTACTAAAAATACAAAAAAATTAGCTATGTGTGGTGGCAGGTGCCTGTAGTCCCAGCTCCTCTGGAGACTGAGGTAGAAGAATCACTTGAACCTGGAGGTTGCAGTGAGCTAAGATTTTACCACTGCACTCCAGCCTGGGCAACAGAGCAAGACTCCATCTCAAAAAGACCTGGGTAAGCTGCTTGGTTTCATGCAACCTCAACCTTCTCATCTATAAAATGGGCACAGTAGGTACCATGGTGGTTTTAAAATCTATCCACAAATTCTTTGCTACTCTAAAAAGGTAGACACTAATTCTCCTCCCCTTGAGTGTGGGTTAGATTTAAGGATTTGCTTCTTTTTTGTTTTTGTTCTTTGTTTTGTTTTGCACAAGACTGGTAAATAGACTTTACTCATAATGATTTGCTTCTAACAACAACAAAAAAATCAGCAGGAAGTGATGAAGTGTAACTTCAGAGATCAGGCTATAAAAGGTATTGTGGCTTCCTTTCTCCTCTCTCTCAGATCACTCTTTCCGAGGGAACTCTGCTGCCATGTTGGAAGGACACTCAAGCCGCCTTGAGGAGAGGCCTTCATGATAAGGAACTGAGGCCTCCTGCCAATGGCTATGTGAGTGAACCACATGGAAGTGGGTCCTCCAGCCCCAGTTGAGCCTTTAGATGACTGCAGCCCCAGCCAACATCTTGACTGGAACCTCAGGCCAGAACCACCCACCTAAGCCACTCTTAAATTTCTGACTGCAAGATAAATACTTAACTATTTCTATCTGCTGAGTTTGGCATGTTTTGTTACATAGCAATAGCTAACAAACATAATTATCTTCCACTTACGCTTGCTGTTAGTAGAAAAGGGGTTAGCACATGCAAGTTAGGGCAGTAGAACAGAGTGGGCTTGCTGTGTTTAAGTCCCAACCCCAACTGTGTGGCCTTGATGAGAGGACTGACCATCTCCAAGCGGCAGTCTCATCATCTGTCCCATCAGGGACACGTATCCCTGAATGCACCTCCACAGGCCTGCAGTAAGGGTCAAGGGATTTGCTACCCACCACAGGCTGCCCTGCAATGCTTTACCAGCATCTGCTGGGCCATCTTCTTCCTTTCGGCCTGCAGCTGCTGGCCCCTGTCTTCTTCCTCCTCCAGGCGGGCCTCCATCTCATGCAGGATCTCCTCCAGCTCCTGCTTCTTGGCTGCCAGCCGCACTCGCATCTCCTCAGCCTCCGCATACAGCTCTGTCTCAGCCTGCAGCTGTTCTTGTAGCAGGTTCTTCTCCTCGGCCAGCTGCATGAGTGGGTGGGGAGGAGGTGAGTGAGTCCCACAGGGCCAAATCCTGCTCCCCGGCAGCCCCAGCCACGCATCCATGCAGGTACCTGTGAGTGCTTCTGCTCCAGCTCCTTAAGCTCATTCTCTGCCTTCTGCTGCCGCTCCTTGGTCTTCTGCAGTTCGTCCTCCTTGGCCTGCATCTCTTCCTCCTGCCGGGTCACCTGCAGCAGTGGCTTCACCTGCACACACATGGGTCAGCCTGTCATTTGTTTTTGTGGCAAAGGGATACACTGTCGTAATAAATTCGATTGGTGGTTCTGAGCCAGGGACAATGTTGCCGCACCAATCCCCACCCAGGGGATATTGTCTGGAGACACTGCTGGTTGTCACGACTGGCATGGGGGGTGCCTCTGACATCCAGTGGGTAGATGTCAGGGATGCTGCTAAACATGGTAAGTGCACAGGACAGCCCCCACCACAGAGGATTATTCACTCCAAAACAGCAACAGTGGCAAGACTGGGGGACTCTAAATTAGAGCACCAGACAAGGTGCAAAGGAAAGGAGAAAGTCTCAACCTCCGCACTTTAGAACCATCCCAAGAGAGAACTACTGCTGAAAAGTATATTTCTCTCCAAGGACAAAAGGGAGAAAAAAAATCTTTCAAATCCCACCTCCCTATCAGAGTCATTAACATGGTTTCCACTTTCTTCCTGTCTCTCTTTCTATGTTTAAAAAATAGACTTGGCCAGGCACGGTGGCTCATGCCTGTAATCCCAACACTTTGGGAGGCCGAGGCGGGTGGATCACAAATGAGGTCAGGAGATCGAGACCATCCTGGCCAACATGGTGAAACCATGCCTCTACTAAAAATACAAAAATTAGCTGGGTGTGGTGGCCCATGCCTGTAACCCCAGATACTTGGGAGGCTCAAGCAGGAGAATCGCTTGATCCAGGGAGGCAGAGGTTGCAGTGAGCCTAGATCATGCCACTGCACTCCAGTCTGGTGACAGTGTAAGACTCTGTCTCAAAAAAAAAAAAATAGACTTAAGATCATACTGCCTAGTGTCAGAGGCTGCTTTTACTATTTAAAATTGTAAGATATAGCCAGGCACGTGGTGCATGCCTCTAATACCAGCACTTCGGCAGGCCGAGGCAGGTGCTTGAGCCCAGGAGTTTGAGACCAGCCTGGGCAACATCGTGAGACCCCATCTCTACAAAAAAAGCAGCTAGGCATGGTGGTGTATGCTTATAGGAAGATCACTTGAACTCTGGAGTGAGCCACGATTGTGCCACTACACTCCAGCCTGAGTGACATAAAGTTTAAAGAAATAATAAGGTATTTATTATCCCATGCTGTTTCCATGCTGTTACATCATTCTTACAGCTTCAGATAGCCATCTTTTTAATTTATTTATTTAGGGATGGTCTTGTTCTGTCACTCAGGCTGGAGTACAGTGACACAGACAGCTCACTGTAGCCTTGAACTCCTGGCCTCAAGCAATCCTCCCACCCCAGCTCTAGAGTAGCTGGGACTACAAGCCCATGCCACAGTGTCCAGCTAGACAGCTAGGTAGCTGTCTTTTTTTTTTTTTTTTTAAAGCAGACCTATTCAGTATCCAAGCCATCACTTTTAATAGCTGAAAAACATTCCATTGATGGATGAACCATTGCTGAACTCATCATTCAGCTAGGACTGGACGTCGAAATTCTGCTGTTGTAAATAAGGCCACAATAAATGCCCTGAACTCTTGATTTTCTTTAAGACTATTTTCTTTTTTGAGATGGAGTCTCACTCTGTTGCCCCGGCTGGAGTACCGTGGTGTGATCTCACTCACTGCAACCTTCACCTCCCAGGTTCAAGAGATTCTCCCACCTCAGCCTCCCAAGTAGCTGGGATTATAGGCATGCACCACCATGCCCGGCTAATTTTTGAATTTTTAGTAAAGATGAGGTTTCACCATGTGGCCGGTCTGGTCTCAAACTCCTGACCTCAGGTACTCCTGACCTCATCTGCCCACCTTGGCCACCCGAAGTGCTGAGATTACAGGTATGAGCCACCGCACCTGGCTAAGACAATTTTCTTAGGATAGGTTTTCAGAAGTTGGTTCAGTGGGGATGATTATTTCCTAGAAGCTGCATCTGCTGTAGGATGCTTCCCTGAGCTGCCTCCTAACTCCTTGTTTTCAAGCCCATGCCTGGCAATAAGGAGGCCCCTGCTATGTACTCCAGCAGCTTCCTTCATGCACGTGTCACAGTCTGCCATCACGTATCTGTGTCTGCGATGATCTGTTTATCATCTACTCCTGCATTCAGCCAGAATATTCATAGAGGCCCCGGACAATGATACCTGTTCACAGCGTCACCCCCAGCACCTATCCTGTGCCTGGCATACAGTAGGTAGTCAGTATCTATTTGCTTGGTGCAAAAGCCTTGCCCCAGTGTATACACTCAGGGCGTATAGTCGATTGCAACAGAGCATGTGTTTGTGCCGTGGGTACCATGCAACCAGTGCCACTACAGGCACCAATTGAGTCCAGAGGCCTTGACTGTGCCAGCAACAGAAAAGATACACTATTGGCCAGGTGCGGTGGCTCACACCTGCAATCTCAGCACTTTGGGAGGCGGAAGCATGACGGGTGCTTGAGGCCGGGAGTTCAAGACTGGCCTGGGCAATGTAGTGCGACTCCATTTCAGAAAATGCAAAAAGCAGCAAATGACTGCAGTATGAATGCAGTAAGCTGGGCAGCTCTCAAACTCCACGTAGAGAACGTGCTTTTTTTTTCTTTTTAAAGACAGAGTCTCAATCTGTCGCCCAGGCTGGAGTGTGGGCATGATCTTGGCTCAGTGCAACCTCTGACTCCTGGGTTCAAGACATTCTCCTGCCTTGGCCTGCTGAGTAGCTGGAATTATAGGCGCCTGCCACCATGCCTGGCTAATTTTTGTATTTTTTTAGTAGAAACGGGGTTTCACCATGTTGGCTGGGCTGGTCTCGAACTCCTGACTGCAAGTGACCCACCTGCCTTGGCCCCCCCCAAGTGCTGAGATTAAAGGCATGAGCTGCTGCCCCCAGCAGCATTCTTGAATCATCAAAATTATAGAACTGGAGAACAGATAAGAGGTTTCCAGGGACTATGGAGGAAGTGGGCGTGGTTCTAAGTGGGCCACATGAGGGTGAAGGAAATAACACTTTGTGTTGAGGTCACGGCTATAATGCATGTGCCAAAGGACAGGGCCTCCTCAGGCCGGAGAACCGCCAACGGGCAAGATCTGAGTTGCAGCCCTCTGTTCCAAACCCAGTTGCAACCACCTCCTGTCCTGCATCTGGAGGCTCCAGAGTGAAGAGCCAGGGCTGGGGGCCCCTGGGAAGGCGGCTGGAGCAGAGCACTCACCTTGGTGAAAAGCCTCCACCACTGCCAGTTCCGCAGCTTGAGGTAGGCAGCGCAGTTCCTCTGAATCACCTTCATGGCTGTCAGCTGCTGCTGCCTCTTTGCAAAAGCCCTAAGGAGGGGGAAGAGAAGATGGAGAGGGAGTCATGAAGCCTCATCCTGTTGTCCACAGAGCCCTGCCCCGCGGTGTCCCAAACCTACATAGGGACATGCTCAGATTCTTCCAGAAACCCTGTGTTACACATGTATTGTCTGGCTGCTCACAACTTAAATCATCTACAGGCTAAAGCCTTTCTCAGTGGGCAAGGAAGACCCAGGGCTTGCAACATCCCGGACAGCTGTGATCCAAACATCACTCAGAAGTGTCACGTCCATGTGCCTCACTCCTAAGTGGCTCCCATACATTCCAGTTGCACCAGCTGTTTTTTTTTTTTTTTTTTTTTGAGATGGAGTTTGGCTTTATTGCCCAGGCTAGGCTGCAGTGGCACAATCTTGGCTCACTGTAACCTCCGCCTCTCGGGTTCAATTGATTCTCCTGCCTCTCAGTCTCCAGAGTAGCTGGGATTAGAGGCACCCACAACCATGCCTGGCTAATTTTTGTATTTTAGTAGAGATGGGGTTTCACATGTTGGCCAGGTGGGTCTCGAACTCCTGACCTCAGGTGATCCACTCTTTGGTCTTCTAAAGTGCTGGGATTAGAGGCGGGAGCCACTGAGCCCAGCCTACGCCAGCTGTTTCTGACAAACCTATTTTTTTTTTCTTTTCTTTTCTTTTTTTTTTTTTTTTTTCCAGAGACAGGGTCTAGCTCTGCAGCCCAGGCTGGAATGCAGAGGCGTGATCACGGCTCACTGCAGCCTCAAATTCCCGGGCTCAGGTGATCCTCCTGCCTCAGCCTCCCAAGTAGCTGGGACTACAGGCACATTCAATCATGCCCAGCTAATTTTTAAAGTTTTTTTTTTTTTTTTTTTTTTTTTTGGAGAGATAGGTGTCTCGCCATGTTGCCCAGGCTGGTCTCAAACTCCTGGGCTCAAGCAATCCTCCTGCCTCGGCATCTCAAAGTGCTGGGATTACAGATGTCAGCAACCGCACCCAGCCCTGTCAAACCTGTTCTCCCCCAGGTTGTTTTAGGAATCTCAAACTGTGACCCTGATCCCGAACTCTTCTCATTTACGGAGAAACCGTAGCACAGTGAATGTAATTCTGTCTTCCCTGCGTGGCTGCCATCTTGGATACGGGAAAACTTTAAGAATAAAATTGCCCCACTTATCTTGGAAGCAGGAAGGATAGCGACAGGGAAATTAGTAATGAAACCGGTCAAGTTAGTTCTGTTGCAGAAGGACTAAGAGCTCCCAAATCTGGCCTTGACCTTCTTGGGTCCATATATCAGTGAATCAACCTGACACATCAGGGCCCTGCAGGTGAGGGTGTGGTCTCTACTCAGTGACAACACAGACAGCGGCTCCACCTGTTCCTGCAGTCCCTTGGGTGTGACTTTCATTGAGGAACACGAGCCCTTCCCTGGGACATCACACCCTACAAAGCCCTGCCTTATAAATCCCATTGGGACCTGGAGATCGAGACACAGTCGAGTTCTCTTTCCTCAATACTTGATCAAATTCTAACATTTCTAGGCCAGGTGCAGTGGCTCATGCCTGTAATCCCAGCACTTTGAGAGGCTGAGGAGGGCGAATCACTTGAGACCAGGAGTTCGAGCCCAGCCTGGCCAACATGGAGAAACCCTGTCTCTACTAAAAATACAAAAATTATCCCGGTGTGGTGCTGTGCGCCTGTAATTCCAGCTACTTGGGAGGCTGAGACATGAGAATTGCTTGAGTCCAAGAGGCGGAGGTTGCTGTGAGTCGAGATTGCGCCACTGCACTCCAGCCTGGGTGACAGAGAGAGACTCTTGAAAGACAGAAAGAAAGAAAGAAAAGAAAGGAAAGACAGGAGGGAAGGGGAAGGGAAGGGAGGAAGAAGGAAGAAAGAAAGACAGAAAGACAACACCACCAAACATTTCCGACCTGAGAAGCAGGCACTGTTCTAAGCTCTCATCATGCATTATCTCAGTGACACCTCATAAACAGCTCCCTGAGATCAAAATGATTATGCCGTTTCTAGCCAAAAACTTGAAGCTCAGAGAGGTAGAGTAACTTGCCCAAGGTTTATCAGCAAAACCTTGGGGAGCCAGGATGAGAACCCAGGTCTGAAACTCATTCCTTCCCTGCACTCATAACTGGTACATTTATTTAAGGTAGAAGCATTTCTTCCCCCTCAAAAAAAGGCTGTCATTCAATCAATCATGCATCTCAAACAGGTGGCCTCTTAGAATTGGGGAATCAGATCAGAAAGGCCCCCATTAGTGGTTCATGCTTGAGGTATCAGGATGTAGGAAAGCATCTTTACTTTCTGGCCAAGTAGCCACGACACATCGCCTGGAAGGCCATGATGACGTCAGTGATCTTCAAGTCTCGTTCCTCCTCCAGGTGGGCCAGGACCCCCGTTCGGAAGAAGATTTTGCTCTGCCCGATCCTGTACAAGTTGGGGTCAAGTTCCAGGGCTTTGATCTGCAGAAGGAGAGAAAAGAAGCGCTCCTGATTTCCGTGGTGGCATTTGGCCAGTGGTGACGTGTGGTTAAGAAGGGTCCCGCCAAGCAGGTGGCTTGCGGCCAGAGGCTGGGAGGTCTCGGGTGGACCTGCGGGCTCACCATGAGGATGCAGGCCTGCTTCCCATCCATGAAGCCCTTGGGGATGGCATTCGCCGCCAGGATCTCGTAGCTTGAAACACAGAATAGAAGTCACCTAGCGTACCTCCAAGCTTCCATTCCTCTGCCCGGTCCCGCTCACCCCTCCCCTACCTGGGCCAGACCTGGGAACTTACCGTTGGCGGAACTCCTGGAAGACAATCCGGTTGGGGAATCCCTGCCGGCAGATGCGGATGCCCTCCAGCACGCCATTGCACCGCAGCTGCTCCAGCACCAGGAATGCGTCCAGCTTGCCTGACTGCAAAGGCCAAAGAGGGCAGTGGGTCCCTGGGGCCAGGACCTGCAGTGCTGCAGAGCCCCAAACCTCATGACTGGATGACCCACCTGGTCAGACCACCAGGGTACCAAGAGAAGCACCCAGGGAGTGCTCAGCTGAGGGCCGAGGGGCAAAGCAGTGCCCCTCTCAGGGTTTCCATCTCTTTGCTTTGGCACTGGCTGCCTCATGATCTCTCTGGTACTTGGTGACACTGGCATTGCCTGGCTGGAAACTGGGGCTTCCTCCTCGTCACGTCCTCTCCTCTCCCTCACTTCCTGTCCATCAGCAGTTTGTTTCTAGCTCCCAAATTCCTCCCAAGTGCCCCACTTCTCTCCACTGCCATTGTCTCCACCATCTTCTCCTGCCTGGACACCATAGAAACCACCGCCTGGGCTTCCCTCTCCAGTCATGGCTCTCACCTCAATCCCCTCATTCACTTCCCTCTGTCCTTTTTATTTTTTGAGGCAGGGTCCCACTCTATCACCCAGGCTGGAGTCCAGTGGGGCGATCGTGGCTCACTGCAGCCTCAAACTCCTGGGCTCAAGTGATTCTCCCAAATCAGCCTCCCAAGTAGTTGCAACCACAGGCATGTGCTACCACGCCTGGCTAATTCTAAAAATGTTTTTATAGAGATAGGGTCTTGCTATGTTGTCCAGGCTAGCCTTGAACTCCTGGCCTCAAGCGATCCTCCCACCTCAACCTATATAAGCCCCTCATATAGCCATGATCCAGCTTATGCTCGGCCTCCTCATTCACTTCCTAAAATGCAAATCTGACCATGACATAGCCCTGCTTACACACCCCCAATTGCATCCCTAGTGAGAGAAGGCCAAGCTCCAGAAAGAGCAAGGAGCGCCACAATCTAGCCCCGCCTGCCCATTCAGCCTCATCTCCAGTTCCTACCTCACACCATCACACCTTGGCAACATGAAATGACCTATTTAGCATTTTCTTTCCTTTTTTTCTTTTTGAGATGGAGTCTTGCTCTGTTGCCCAGGCTGGAGTGCAGTGGTGCAATCTTAGCTCACTACAACCTCCATCTCCCAGGTTCAAGCAATTCTCCTGCCTCAGCCTCCTGAATAGCTGTGCCATCATGCCTGCCTAATTTTTTGTATTTTTAGTAGAGATGGGGTTTTGCCATGTTGGCCAGGCTGGTCTCAAACTCCTGACCTCAGGTGATCCACCCATCTTGGCCTCCCAAAGTGCTGGGATTACAGGAGTGAGCCACCGTGCCCGGCCTGCCACAGATCCTTAAAGTTCAAGTAGGCCAAGAAGCTTTCTCTGAGCCCTGAGGCTGTGGGAGGAGGCCTGGCTCTTTGGTGTTCTTGTAACTGACCACATTCCATCACCATCTTCAGCTGTGTGTCTGTCTCTCCTCAGGTCTCTCATAACCTCAGCACTACTGGCATCTTGTAGGGATTCTCTGCTGGGGGTTGAGGGACTGCCCTGTGCATTGTACAATGCTTAGCGCATCCCCGGCCTCTACCCACAAGATGCCAACTAGCAGCCCCCTTCAAAAATGTCTCTAGACATGTCCACAGAGAGGACACAATCACCCCAAGCTGAGAATGCCTGCACCCGATTATGAGAAACCTACAGGCAAGGACGACATTTTTGTAACACTGTCTCCCCAGCATCCAGCACAGGGAGGGACTCAGTGAACACTTCCTGGGATAGTGAATGAATGAGCGTCTGAATGCCCTGCACCGCAACCCCACGGCTGAAAAGTCTCTGGAGGCGTCCTCTCTTCCTCCCTTGCCTCCAGGGATGGGGAATGGGCCCCAGATTCGGACAGTCTTCCCCCGATGGCAGATGGGGTCCTCGGGGTGGGTGGGGGTGGAGGTGCCTGGGGGACACTGTGACCGGTTGGGGCAGCCGTGGCTTTGGAAGCCCCAGGGTCTGGGCGGTGGGCCTCACCCTCTTCTCGTGGTTGGGGATGATGCAGCGCACGAAGTTGGGCGTGGTGTTGCGCAGCGTGGTCATCAGCTTGCCCAGCTGCTCCTTGTACAGCTGCCCCACTGTGCGGAACATGCCCTTCTTGGTCTTGGAGGCGCTGGGCAGCGAGCTCTCTGTCATCTTGGCCATCTGGTCCAGCCCCACGATGCGGTCCACTGTGGGGCACAGCCAGTGGCATCAGCCTTTGGCCCACCCACCCCTAAACACGCCACAGGCCCAGACCCACCTCACCCCCGACCAACCTGCCTGCTCCAGTCTTTCCTTCCATCACCAATGCCACCTTCCCAAGTATTGTCTATTTGGGAAATTCTGAGAGTGCCTGAGTGGCAGAAAGAACAAATCCCCTGCGAAGGAGTCGTGCTGACCCAGAAGTCAAGCCTGCTCTTGCTGTCCACTCACTGAATAGCCTTGGCTTGGCACCATCCTGTGCCTCAGTTTCTCTTTCTACAAAAGGGAGGTAAAACACCATCTACCTTCTAGGGCATGGATAAGAAAATAAGGCACATAAGGCACTTATTCCCTGCCAGCCTCCAACCCTTCATCCACCAACAAATACTGAGGACCTTCTGTGCTTCAGGTCCTGGGGACACCAGCCTGAACAAAAAAAAAGACCTGACCCCCTCAACCCACTTATATCATAGGGAAGGAGACAGACGGTGGTCACAGACGTTAAGTACGGAATACCTTGAGTGGTGAGGTGTGTTTAGAAAAATAAAAACAGGGTAAAGCAGAGAGTGATGAGAGGGATCTCTTAGATAAGAAGGTGGTGTGCTGGGGTCTGTCTGCTAAGTTGATATTTGAGCAGAAACCAGAAAGAAATGATAGGTCACCATGTAGGTATCCACAGAAGAAATATTCTGAGGCAGAAGATACAGCACACACTCCAAGACAGGAGCCTGGGACATCAGGAAGTGCTCAACAAAAAGTAGGTCTTACCATCACCACCACCATCATCATCGCCATCATCACCACCACCATCATCATCGCCATCATCACCACCACCACCACCATCATCATCATCGCCATCATCACCACCACCATCATCATCATCGCCATCATCACCACCACCACCATCATCATCATCATCGCCATCATCACCACCACCATCATCATCATCATCGCCATCATCACCACCATCATCATCGCCATCATCGCCATCATCACCACCATCATCATCGCCATCATCACCACCACCACCATCATCATCATCATCGCCATCATCACCACCACCATCATCATCATCGCCATCATCACCACCACCATCATCATCGCCATCATCACCGCCACCACCATCATCGCCATCATCACCGCCACCACCATCATCATCATCGCCATCATCACCACCACCACCATCATCATCATCGCCATCACCACCACCATCATCATCATCATCATCATCACCATCATCACCGCCACCATCATCATCGCCATCATCACCGCCACCACCATCATCGCCATCATCACCACCACCACCATCATCATCATCGCCATCATCACCACCACCACCATCATCATCATTGCCATCATCACCACCACCACCATCATCATCATCACCGCCACCACCAAGGTCCTTTTTCTACCAGCCCGGCAGGTCCTGCACGTGCCAAGCCCAATGCACAGGCTATGGACTGCACCATTTCTTCACCTCGAACTCAGATTCCATGCAACAGTCTTTTTATTGATTGATTGATTGAGACAGGGTCTCACTCTGTCAGCCAGGCATGTGCAGCGGCATGACCTTGGCTCACTGCAACTTCCACCTCTCAGATCCAAGTGCTTCTCCTGCCTTGTCCTCCCGAGTAGCTGGGGTTACAAATGCTCATCACCACACTCAGCTAATTTTTCTGTTACTTTTATCGTTTATTTTTAGTTTTATTTTTTTGAGATGGAGTCTTGCTCTGTCCCCCAGACTGGAGTCCAGTGGCTCTATCTCAGCTCGCTGCAACCACCACCTCCTGGGTTCAAGCGATTCTCCTGCGTCAGCCTCCCAAGTAGCTGGGGTTACAGGTGCCTACCACCATACCTGGTTAGTTTTTTTATTTTCAGTAGAGACAGGATTTTTCCATGTTGGCCAGGCTGGTCTTGAACTCCTGACCTCAGATGATCCACCCGCCTCGGCCTCCCATGGTGCTGGGATTATAGGTATGAGCCACTGCACACAGCCCCATGCAACAATCTCTCTGCTAGTCTTTGTGAGTCTCCTCTCTCCCACAAGACTGGGCTTCCGCGGGGGAGGGGCTGCAGGCTTCATCATGTGTCCTGGGGTGACAGACTCAGGGTATGATGCTGCTCCCCAGACCCTGAGCCTAGCACATAGTTGAGGCACAGCAGGCCCTTCCTGGAGCCTTTTTTAGCATGCTTAAAACAAGGGAAAACCAGGCCGGGTGCAGTGGTACACGCCTGTAATCCCAGCACTTTGGGAGGCGAAGGTGGGCGGATCACCTGAGGTCAGGAGATTGAGACCAGCCTGGTCAACATGATGAAACTCTGTCTCTACTAAAAATACAAAACTTGGCTGGGTGTGTTGGCGTATGCTTGTAATCCCAGCTACCTGGGAGGCTGAGGCAGGAGGATCCCTGGAACTGGGAGGCGGAGGCTGCAGTGAGCTAAGATTGTGCCACTGCACTCCAGCCTGGGCGACAGAGCGAGATTCCATATCAACAAAATAAATAGATACATAGATAAAAAAATCAATAAAAAGCACTCCAGGGGGTCATGATGGATGCTTGAGTTTGAGCACCGCTGGTCTAATTTAACCCTCACAATGCCCCTAGGAGAGGTGGCAACTATTACTGTATTTCCTGGTTTTACTAATGAGGACAATGAACTTAAGGTCACGGAGTGACTTGTCCAAGACCACAGAACTAGGAGGGGCAAGGACAAGACTCAGCCAGATCCTTCTGACTCTGGATGGGGCCATCTAACTCTCCGTGCCTGGCACGCTGTTTCTCCCATTTACTGCCTGAGCCCTGACCTCAGGACCTCATCCCCTGGGGACCATGGAGAATTGAGGGGCTCAGGTACCACCATTCAGGAAGAGACTGAGTGCTTCAACAAGACATCACCAACACGTGCCAGTGCTGCCCTTTCCCCTGCCCCCATGCAAAGGCGTCCCCCCTGGGGCGGGTGTGGGGGTCAGGGGACTTGGGGACTTGGGTGTTCAATTCTCCAGCTCAAAGCAGCTTCCAGAGCAGAGAAGCCCTTACCGTCCTTCCACAAGTCGGCCACAAACTTGTCTGAGGAGGCGTTGAGCAGAGAAGTCACATTGTCATTCAGCGGGTCCATGTTCTTGGTCAGCCAGGCACTGGCGTTATAGTCCACCTGCCAAGGACACCCCGCTGGTCAGATTCCTTGGGAAACTACAAACTCAGAAACCACAGCCAGGACCCCAGCCCTCCCATTGCCCTTCCAGACCTTCTGAAGCCAGAGAGGAAATGACGTTTATGGCCACCATGATGGGACTCCACAAACATCATGAAGGGACCAACAGATCAGGGACCTGTGTCCATGCAGTAGGAGATCAGCCCATGATACCCACTGCTGAGAAAGCCCAGTTTCTTTTCTTTTAATTTTCTTTATTTTTATTTTTTTCGAGATGGAGTCTGGCTCTGTCGCCAAGGCTTGAGTGCAGTGGTGCCATCTCGGCTCACTGCAACCTCTGCCTCCTGGGTCCAAGAGATTCTCCTGCCTCAGCCTCTCAAGTAGCTGGGATTACAGGCACCTGCCACCACACTCAGCTAATTTTTGTATTTTTAGTAGAGACAGGATTTTGCCATGTTGTCTGGGCTGGTCTCGAACTCCTGACCTCCTGATCTGCCCACTTCAGCCTCCCAAAGTGCTGGGATTACAGGCGTGAGCCACTACACCAGGCCAGGGAAAGCCTAGTTTCTATTCCACATTATTCTAGTAATGCTGCTGTGGCAGCTACCGCATGCAGCCCCATGCAGCAAATTTTCTGCTTGTCTGTGAGAGTCTCATCTCTCCCACAAGACTGTGGCTCCCACAGGGGAGGGGCTGCAGCTTAGGGGCCCCTAAACCAGCACAGTGCCTGTGAGTTACACAAGATTAAGAGATTTCACGATGGCAGATACCCTCCTGCTGACATGAAAAATTTTCCCCTCATCTTCCCAATCATCCTGGTTTATAAGTTAGGCATCGTGGGTGAGCACGGTGGCTCATGCCAATAATCCTAGCACTTTGGGAGGCCAAGGTAGGTGGATTTTTTGAGGTCAGGAGTTCGAGACCAGTCTGACCAACACAGTGAAGCCCTGTCTCTACTAAAAATTAAAAAAAAAAAACAAAAAACCCAAAAAACCAAAAACTAACCAGGCATGGTGGTGCATGCCTGCAATCCCAGATACTTGGGAGGCTAAGACAGGAGAATCGCTTCAAGCTGGGAGGTGGAGGTCACGGTAAGCTGAGATTGAGTCACTGCACTCCAGTCTGGGCAACAGAGTGAGACTCTGTCTCAAAATAAATAAGTAAATAAATAAATAAAGCACGGCATCCTCTTTCCCATTCTCTAAGGAGCCTAATTTGTAACTGAGAGATTCTGATATATGGATATAGAGAAAAAGGATACAGGGGCTTTGACATTCCTAACTCGAACACTGACTATGCCCAGCCCTAATTTTTATTATGGTGAATACTAAACGAAGGGAACTGATAATGCAGCTCTGCTGGGTTATTATGGGATGTAGATTATCAGGATAATCGCTAGGCTTGATCTGAGAGAAGACTGAAAATAAAAAAAAAGTAGGGAAGCAGGGAAAAGTGTCTCTATATGCTTAAAGGAACATGCGCTCCCTTGAATGTAGGCCAGGAGTTAGGATTTTGGTAAAGGCCCAGATAGTAGGTATTTTTGGCTTGGCAAGTCACACAGTGCTTTGTGTTTGTCTGTCTGTTGGTCTTTCTCTGTTGCCCAGTCTGGAGTGCAGTGGTGCAATCTCAGCTCACTGCAACCTCTGCCTTCCTAGGTCAAGCCATTCTCATGCCTCAGCCTCCTGGGTAGCTGAGATTACAGGCATGTGCCACCACACCTGGCTAATTTTTTTTTTTTTTTGTATTTTTAGCAGAGGGGTTTTCCCATGTTGGCCAGGCTGGTCTGAAACTGCTGACCTCAAGTGATCCGCCTGCCTTGGTGCTGGGATTACAGGCACGAGCCACTGTGCCCACCCAAGTCATAGTCTTTGTCACAGCTACTCAATTCTGCTGCTGTAGTACAAAAGCAGCCACAGACATGTAAACAAATGGCCATGTCTGTGTTCCAATAAAACTTTATTTATAATAACAAGTTGTGAGCCAGACCAGACTCTACTTCCAGTGCTTAGTATAGAGCACGACCTCTTCCCATGATGCAGTGGGGATACTGAGGAGTCAATAGCATATTACAATCCTGCAAGCCAGACTAAGCTATGCCTTTTTACATTACCTAGGACCCTTGGGAGCCATAGGGCAAGGGCCTATACAATAACAGCCAAGGTATGATGATGACGACAATGATGAGTACGACTATCATAAATTTCCCTGGCCAGAGCAGACTGACAATAGCAAACCCAAGGACATGACAAGAGAGACTTTGTTGGAGCCAGGGTGTGAATTTATTAGTCACCCCATCCCAGCTGGCTCCACCTGTTGGGTATAACTTGTAGCAGGAAGGACTGAGAGTCTGTACAAGAAAGAGCAGGCTGAGGCTAGGTGCAGTGGCTCGTGCCCGTAATTCCAACACTTCAGGAGCCGAGGCGGGAGGATCGCCTGAGCCCAGGAGTTCAAGGCCCCATCTCTAGACATAATTAAAAAATTTAGCTGGGCAGCCAGGTACAGTGGTTCATGCCTATAATCCCAGCACTTGGGGAAGTCAAGGCGGCTGGATTACTTGAGGTCAGGAGTTAGAGACCAGTCTGGCCAATATGGTGAAACCCCATCTCTACTAAAAATACAAAAATCAGCTGGATGTGCCAGCAATTCCAGCTACATGGGAGGCTGAGACAGGAGAATTGCTTGAAACCAGAGGCAGAGGTTGCGGCGATCCAAGATTGTGCCACTGCTCTCCAGCCTGGGTGACAAGAGCAAAACTCCATTTAAAATAAAACAATTTCGTTTGCACAGTGGTGTACACCTGTGGTCCCGGCTACTCGGCAGGCTGAGGCAGGAGGATCGCTTGAGCCCAGGAGGTTGAGGCTACAGTGAGCTATGATCGCACCACTGCACTCTAGCCTGGGTGACAGAGCGAGATCCTTTCTCCAACAAAAACAGAAAGAGCAGCCTGCATCGGGGTTGGAAAACATGAGAGAGGCTGCAGCTGATGCCTTACAGATGCGTAGACCAATCACAAACAGGACTTGGTTGGGATTTGCTTTGTAGCAGATGCCTTTGCAATTCCCAGGCAGCCCAGGGTTCTGCCACTCTCAGACTCTGTCTGCGCTGAGCAGCCACTGGGGCTCCCCTGAGACAGAGCCCCCTGGGCCCAGCAGCTGGTACCTTCCCAGCATAATGGATGATGGAGAACTCAGTCTTGTCCTTGAGCTGCTTGGGCTTCTGGAACTTGGGGTGGTTGCCCTGCTCTGTGCACAGCTTCTCCACGAAAGACTTGTCCGTGGCTTTGGGGAACCAGCATTCCTCGTCCAGCAGGGCCAGCACACCTGGGGGGTTGTTCTGTGGGAGACAAAGAGGGCTTGAATTAGAGAGGACGCCCAACCTCGGGCGTTCCATGAACAGCCGGCCAACTATAAAACTCACAGGCAACTTCTGAGATCTGATACTGTATTTGCTCAGAGCAGAGATGCGCTGTCTCCAGCAAAAACAGAAAGAAAGAACAGCCTGGGCCTCATGGGAGCAAACATTATATTCTGCCTTCCATCCCTGATACTGGTCCATTGGGTACAAGGTAATTTGAGGGTCGATTTGGAAGTTATCACCCGCCTCTTGTTTGCTGCTGCCCCCTAGTGGGCAACACATAAACAACATCATGAAGAATTTATAATTCTTGAAAAGGAGTTTGTTGCTTGACTTGAATTCACCTAGGGTTCCTGTTAGAAAAGTGTTTTTGGAGACAGGATCTCACTGTGTCATCCAGGCCGGAATTCAGTGTAATCTTGGCTCACTGCAACCTCTGCCTCCAGGGCTAAAGCAATCCTCCCACCTCAGCCTCCCAAATAGCTGGGACCACGGGCGTGCACCACGATGTCTGGCTAACTTTTTTTGTATTTTTTGTAGAGATGGGGATTCACTGTGTTGCTCAGGCTGATCTCAAGCGATCCTCCTGCCTCAGCCTCCCAAAATGCTGGGATTACAGGCGTGAGCCACTGTGCGCAGCCTTGAAGCATTTCTTTGTGATTGAGAAATAGTGTGTGCAAATTTGGTGGTGTTTCAACACCATCTAAATAAGGTGTCAGAACACCACCAAATTTGCACACGCTATTCCCTCTGCTGCAATGGTCTTCGCTTTTTGGATTCAGCCCCAGAGAAGCGTTTTCTGATTGTTCTATCCAAAGTGCACCTCCCTAAACCACTCTCCATGTTGCCTCATCTGGGGTTTTAGTTGCTTTGTTTGTGTGTCTGATTTTGTCATCTGTTCCTTTAGGAGCGCAGGGACCACACTTATCCTATTCACAGTTAGATACCCAGGCCCTAAAGGGGGCCCAGCACATCACAGGTGGTCAGTAGTCACTCAAAAAGTGTTCACTGGTCACCTACTATGTCCATGGTTCTGGAAGTTTGGGATACATTAGTGAACAAAACAAAGGTTACTGCTTTGGGGAATGAAGAAATGGGAGAGGCCAGGTGCTGTAGCTCATGCCTGTAATCCCAGCACTTTGGGAGGCCGAGGAAGAGGATCCCTTGACGTCAGGAGTTTGAGACCAGCCTGCGCAACATAGCGGAACCCTGTCTCTACTAAAAAAATATAAAAGTTATCTGGGCATGGTGGTGCACGCCTGTAGTCTTAGCTACTTGGGAGGCTGAGGCAGGAGGATCACTTGAGCCTGGGTGGTGGAGGTTGCAGTGAGGCGAGACTGCACCACTGCACTCCAGCCTGGGCAACAGAGCCAGACCCTGTCATAAAAAAACAAACGAAAAAGAAATGGCAGAGAAGGGAAGGGAAGGAGGGTAGGGAAGGAAAAGGAGGATGGAAGGAAGGCAGAAATTAAAGAAAATACCTTTGATATAAAAATGTGGGTTAATGGAAATTATAACTTAGTTCACAAAGATTCAGCTTACAGCCTTTCAGGACCTGGTGATGGGTGGCAGGGGAGGGGATGCTATGAGCATGGGGAGGCTGTGGGGTCCACGTCAGCTTTACAGAGGCCACACACGTGTGCAAGGTATGATGGGGGCCGCGCATGCCCACAGGCCCCTCACCGGCCGTTCGATGAGCTCGATGCAGGGCTGCAGGTCCAGCCCAAAGTCGATGAAGTTCCACTCGATGCCCTCGCGCTGGTACTCCTCCTGCTCCAGGATGAACATGGTGTGGTTGAAGAGCTGCTGCAGCTTCTCATTGGTGTAGTTGATGCACAGCTGCTCGAAGGAGTTCACCTGAGCACAAGGCATGGGGCAGGGTGTGAGCATCTGGGTATGAAGTCAGAAGACAGGGAGCCTCACAGAAGCTCCCCACAATGGCACCCCCATCGCTGGCCCACATCCTCTCCACAAGAGCCTGTTCTGCCATCCCAGCACCCAGAGGGGTGTTAGGCCCCCACAACATGCTGCCTAGAATCCCCCAGGGCTGACGGAGTTGACATCACATGGACCTCACACACCTTCAGGATGCTTACCTCCTCCATCTCCACAACCATCTATGGATGGACAAACCTGGTAAGGCATGCTACTGCATTCACATATGTGGAAACAGAGGCGTAGAGAGAAAGAGACTCTGCGGCAGAGCTCTTCTGGGATATCTATCAATCTTAACACCTTCAGGTCAGGTGTGGTGGCTCACAACTGTAATCTCAGCACTTACGGAGGCCAAGCAGTGGGATCACTTGAGGTCAGGATTTCGAGACCAGCCTGGCAAATGTAGCGAAACCCGTCTCTACTAAAAATACAAACATTAGCCAGGCACAGTGGCTCATGTCCGTCATCCCAGCACTTTGGGAGGCCGAGGCTGGTGGATCACTTGAGGTCAGGAGTTTGAGACCAGCATGGCCAATAGGGTAAAATCCCGCCTCTGCCAAAAAAAAAAAATTTTTTTTTTAAGTAAAATTTGGCATGTGCCTATAATCCCAGCTACTCGAGAGGCTGAGGCAGGAGAATCACTTGCACCAGAGAGATGGAGGTTGCAGTGAGCTGAGATCACACTACTGCCTTCCAGCCTGGGTGACAGAGTAAGACTCTATCTCAAAACAAAACCAAAAACAAAAAACCAGCGGGCGTGGTGGCGCATGCCTGTAATCGCAGCTATTCAGGAGGCCGAGACAGGAGAATTGCTTGAACTCAGGAGGTGGAGGCTGCAGTGTGCAAGACACTGTCTCAAAAAAAAAAAAATCACAAAAAAACCTTCTTTTTCTCTGGGAACTTTCCTCAAATGGATGTATATGGGATCCAATATCTGTATTTCTATTACATGAGGTAAGGAAAGCTCCGGCAACAGTTCTTGAATTCTGGTGAGTAAGAGTCAGTGAGACGTAATTCCAAGATTTGGTTGGAACTGTTAGAAAAGAGATTTTTTTTTTTTTTTTTTTGGCCAGAATTACTGAAAGGCAATCTGGAGCTGTGGCAGCCATCTTGCCACCATAAGGGGAAAGCCTGCTTGAGAATGGAACCAATATGGAGAAAGGCAGAGAGAGAGAGAAAAAGATGGCGGGAGATCAGACCCTGCCTACTAGATCCAGCTGCATGTCTGTCCTTCTCAGTTCCAGAAACCAATGCATTTCCTGTTGAATTTCTGTCTCTTGCACCCTCAAGGATCCACCTTTAACTAGACGGCCTCTTACCCTGCAGTAGCCATCTACATGCATTTCTCAAAAATCAAGACTCCTCCAAGAAAAGCCCCATCTCAGAGAAGCAAGTCCATGGCTGTTACGATCCCACCAAGCTGTACCTCAAAGATCTCAAATCCAGCTATATCCAGGATCCCCAGGAAGGAAGCCCCTTGCCGATGGGTCTTGTCCAGGGCTTTGTTCACGCGCGTGAGTATCCAGCGGAAAAGGCGTTCGTAGGTTGCCTTGGCCAAAGCCTCTACAGCAAAGTCAGCCTGAAGAGGGGACAGGGGAACACGGTTATTCCCAATGGGCTGCATTTTCACATAAAGCAGGCTGGTGGTGAGTATTCTTATTCTTGGCCAGGCACAGTGGCTCACACCTAAAATCCCAGCACTTTGGGAGGCCTAGGCAGGCAGATCACTTGAGGTCAGGAGTTCAAGACCAGCCTGGCCAACATGGCGAAAACCCGTCTCTACTAAAAGTACAAAAAATTAGCTAGGCATGGTGGCACATGCCTGTAGTACCAGCTGCTTGGGAGACTGAGGCAGGAGAATCATTTGAATGTGGGAGGCATAGGCTGCGGTGAGCTGAGATTGCACCACTGCACTCCAGCCTGGGCAACGGAACAAGACTCATTCTGCCTAATAGTCTAGTGTTGAATAAATGAGGGATAAAAAGATAAATGGGTGGATGGATAGACAGATGAATGAATGAATGAATGGAATGACAGGTGGATGGGTGACAGATAAATGGATAGATGAACAGATGGCTGGATCATGTATGGCTGAATGGACAGATGGATGAATGAAGGATGGATGGATGGATGGATGGATGAACAGACAGATGAATGAGTACACAGAAAGATGGATGGATGGACATATGCACAGATGGTCCGTGGGTGGGCTAATGAATAGGTGAATGAGTGAGTGGGTAGGTAGATGGATGAGTGGATGGATGAGTGGTGGATAGGCGGGTAAGTGCTAAGTAAATAGCAGGTGTATCATACCTGTTCTTTTGTCTGAGCTTTCTGTACCACGTCTCGCCCAACCTTGATACGAGGAGTGAGGATGGCTCTGGTGAAATCTGTCACATTAATTCCCATGAGGTGGCAAACCTTCTGAGCAGCTGGATGGAGAAAAGAAACATGCTGAGTGCATCACAAAAGAGAGACCTTGGCCAGAAGGCACATGGCATGGGATACTTGTGATCTGTGAATACCCCGGCTTCTCTTGGGGAAATGCAACCTGCTGACAGTGAACATAACATCAATTGTCCTGAAGGCTGCTGTCATCAGTGGCCACACCCTTCAGTACTTCAATGACAGGCAGTGATTGGAGTGGGCTAAAGTATGCCCCAGTTGGGGGTTTAGGGTCAGGGAGTTCTAGTTTCAAGTCCCTGTCCCTTCACATTTCCAAATCATGTGACTCTGGAAAAGCTCATTTTTTTGAGACGGAGTCTCTGTTACCAGGCTGGAGTGCAATAGTATGATCTGAGCTCACTGCAACCTCTGCCTCTCGGGTTCAAGGGATTCTTCTGCCTCAGCCTCCTGAATAGCTGGGATTACAGGCACACACCACCATGCCCAGCTAATTTTTGTATTTTTAATAGAGACAGGTTTTCACCATGTTGGCCAGGATGGTCTCAATCTCTTGACCTCATGATCTACCTGCCTTGGCCTCCCAAAGTGCTGGAATTACGGGTGTGAGCCACCCGCCCAGCCTGGAAAAGCTCTTTAGCCTCTTAGAGTTTTGTTTTTCTCAGGTTTACAAAGGGTCAGATCTTTGGTACCTTGATGGTACCCAGGATGAAGTAAGGTAAAGTATGTAAAGTCCTTGAGATTTATTTAATAGTGACTTAGTATTCAGTAGGTACTAACAGTAACATTTATTGAATAGTTACTATTCAATAGTATTTATTTCACTGTTCTAGGATATGTGTTACAACACTGTTTGCAATAGCAAAATGCTGGAATCAATCTAAATGTTCCCTGTTTTTGAGTCTCACTCTGTCACCCAGGCTGGAGTACAGAGGCACGATCTAGGCTCACTGCAACCTCCACTGCCCAAGTTCAAGTGATTCTTCTGCCTTAGCCTCCTGAGTAGCTGGGATTATAGGCACACGCCACCACACCCAGCTAATTTTTGTATTTTTAGTAGAGACAGGGTTTTGCGATATTGGCCAGGCTGGTCTCGAACTCCTGACCTTGTGATCCACCCGCCTTGGCCTCCCAAAGTGCTGGGATTACAGGCTTGAGCCACCGCACCCGGCTATTTTTTTTTTTGACACACAGTCTTGTTCTGTCACCCAGGCTGGAGTGCAGTGGTGCCACCACTAGTTCGTCCCTTAAAATGAAAGTAGCATTACATGCTGCTTTGCATGTGCAAGGCAGTAAACAGAGTGATTTGAGGATTTTTTCCCCATCTCTTGGCAAGGGTGCTTTTTCATTTCTCTTTCCCTGAGGTGTTTCCTTAGCATGAGGATTCCATTAATTTGCCAGATTTAGGGTGGGTAACACCTAAGAAACATCTGAGAGTGAAACTGCCGCTGCAAATCGTAACTGAGACAGTGAAAGAGACCTGACCTAACTGACTCCATCTTGCTTCTAACATCCAAGCTCCAGAGAACCGTTCCCGGGGGTAAGCCACACTAACTTTGGGGGAACTTAGCTTATAGCTTATTTTTTAATTTTGTTTTTGAGACAGGGTCTCACTCTGTCACCCAGGCTGGAGCGTAGGGGCATTATCTGGGCTTGCTGCAATCTCTGCTTCCTGGGTTCAAGCAATTCTCCTGCCTCAGCCTCCTGAGTAACTGGGATTACAGGAACTCGTCACACATCTGGCTAATTTTTATATTTTTACAAAATTTTGTATGTTTCACCATGTTGGCCAGTCTGGTCTTGAACTCCTGACTTCAAGTGATCCACCTGCCTCGGTCTCCCAAAGTGCTAGGATTACAGGCGTGAGGCAGCATGCCCAGACTCATAGTTTAAAACACAAGAACCCTTTCCCCAAACAAATCCCCCTTCTTGCCTGGGGATTAGCCTGCCTTTGTAGGACTAATAAATTAACCAAAAGATTAGAAATTACAGTTTAGGAGTCCTGTAACTGGAGGCTACAAGATTCTGACCCTCCCAAAATTATTCCTGGGGATAACATCACTGTTGTAAAACCTAAGATGAGTGCTTGAGATAGCTTGCAGACCCCGGCACCATGTGGATCAGCTGGTCACTCAGATTGAGAAACTGGCTCACCCGATCTTGTGGGCCCCCGTCCAGAACTGACTCAGGACAAGAGGACAGCTTCAACTCCCTATGATTTCATCTCAGACCCAACAATCAGTACTCCCAACTCACTGGCCTCCCCCTAACCAAATAATGCTTAAAAACTCTGATCCCTGAATGCTCAAAGAGACTGATTTGAGTAATAATAAAACTCTGTTCTCCTGTGCGGCCAGCTCTGTGTGAATTTACTCTTTCTCTATTGCAATTCCTCTGTCTTGATTAATTGGCTCTGTCTAGGCAGTGGGCAAGGTAAACTCATTAGGCAGTTACAATAGGTTTGATTAAAGTGAGCTCCGAGGAGTGGAAAAAAGCAACACAATATACAGCTTGGGCCAGGAAATAAGAAACCTAAGTTTTGCTCTTAGCTCAGCCACCAATAAGCATGATGGTAGCCAGGCCAGCTTCTCAAAACACAAAATACTGTTTATCTGTGAGTAGGGCTGTCAGATTTAGGGAGAAAATTATAGGATGCTCAGTTAAGTCTGAATTTCAGATAAACAAGTATACTCTTTTGGTATAACCATGCTCCAAATGTTACAAAGGGTATACTTAAAATTAAAAAACAAAAAGTTTGTTGTTTACCTGAAACTGAAATTTATCTGGACATCCTGTATTTTATCTGGCACCCCTAATTCTCAGGGCAATCGAGGTCTATCTCCCCAAGACCACAGATACCATAAGAAGAGCTATTCCTGTCTCATTTCCTGCTGGATCCCACTGGCACATTGCAGGGACTTAAGAAATATTTCTTTAACAAAATAATTAAGTGGAGTGTTTCAGGAGAGATGGTCCCTAAGGATCTTGTCTGGTCTAAAACTATTACGCGCAGGGTGTGGTGACTCTTGCCTGTAATCCCAGCACTTTGGGAGGCCAAGGTGGGAGGATTGCTTGAGGTCAGGAGTTCAGGATCAGACTGGACAACATAGCAAGACCCTATCTCTATTAAAATTTGTAAAATTTTTTATTTTATGTATTTATTTATTTAGATGGAATCTCACTGTTATTTATATGTTCTTTTTTAAAAATAAAAGATTTTTGAAAAGGAACACATAAATAAAACTATTTGTGTGTGTGTTTTTTTTTTTTTTTTGGTGTGAGACAGTTTCGCTCTTGTTGCCCAGCCTGGAGCACAATGGTGTGATCTTGGCTCACTGCAACCTGTGCCTTCTGGGTTCAAGTGATTCTCCTGCCTCAGCCTCCTGAGTAACTGGGATTACAGGCACATACCACCGTGCCCGGCTAATTTTTATATTTTTAGTAGAGTCGGGGTTTCACCGTGTTGATCAGGCTGGTCTCAAACTGCTGACCTCGTGATCCTCCTGCCTTGGCCTCCCAAAGTGCTGGGGTTACAGGCGTGAGCCACCATGCCTGGCCTATTAGGTTTTTACATCCCTCCACTCTGATTCAAGAACTTTCCACATAGTCTTGAGCAGTGAAAAGTTTGAAAAAAGGAAAGTGAGTGATAAGAACCTAGTCCAACTGTTGTTAAAATCCCAGATACCGTCACCTTGAAAAATAATCAATAGTCAAATTCACTCTCCCCATTCTCCCCAACCCCCAAATCATCAGTTATTGGGAAAAGCTGGCAAGTACCTGTGTTATCTGGCATGGACGCCTGGTCTGTGTTTCTTTCCTTCTTGAAGACGATATTTCCAAGCTGCAGGACGGATGATACCACCTTCAACACGGCTGAGGTGGGGAGAGAAGAGCAGAGCAGACACAGAGGTCAATGCCAAGGTACCCTAGAGTTTTGGGATATAAAGCCACTGGGGACCCAGAGCCAGCCTACATCTTTCCTCCAAAGAAACTCAATTCTGAGCTCAATATTTTCAGATGGTTGCTAAAAATCTTTTACTAACAATGGAATACCACACAGCAAAAACTGGAAAACTATAGCCTATAGACCAAATCTGGCCCACTGCTTGCTATAACAAATAAAGTTTTATTGGAATACAGCCATACTCATTCATTTGCATATTGTCTACAACTGTAAATGGCATGCTACAATGGCAGAGTTAAAGAGTTGCAACAGAGATCATCCGGCTCACAAAGGCTAAAGAATTTACTATTTGACCCTTTACAGAAAATGTGTTAGCAACCCCTGCCACAGAACAAGGAGAATGAACGAGCTACCACTACCAAAAACCAAAACTGATGTATTGGGACCAGCATGTCTGTGACCCCAGCACTTGGGGATGCTGAGGTGGGAGAAATGTTTGAGGCCAGGAGTTTGAGACAGTCTGGGCAATGCTGGGAGACCCTTTCTCTGAAACACAAATGAAAATAAACCTGACTTATCTTCCAGACACAAATGCTGAACAAAAGAGGACAGATGGAAAAAAGAACCTACTATCTAAATCCATTTATAGACAGTTCATTCAAGAAGAGGCAAAACTAATCAATGCTGTTAGAAGTCAGGATAATGATAATCCTCAATTGAGGGAAGCTCCTAAAAGGTACATGTGGGAGCTTCTGCAGGGCTGGTGGCATTCTCTTACTTAAAATGGATTCTAGTTACACAAACGTGTTCAGTTTATAATAATTCTTTGCACTGCACACTATATAGCATACGTAATTTTCTAAGTAAATCATGTGTTAATAAAAGGATTTTTGAAACAGAAACCCTGTGCTTCTTACATACTCTGCTGGGTGTACAAGATGCCCACGTTGGGAAGAAGATTATGTAAATCTGTTTCCACTTGTTGTCCAGGTGTCTCCAAACAAAAACGCTGTGTTCCACAAAGCTTGGAACCTTTCTGAGTCTATACTTAGCCCATGGACTGTTAAGATGGTTTCTACGTCTGAAATCCCCACAAGACCATGAGTTTCTGGAGAGTGGGAGGCCTATCCTAATCATCTTTGAATTTGCAAAGCCTAGTCCAGCGTCCTGATACACATAGGAGGGAGGGAGAGAGATGGATAGATGGCAGGTGGAGGGTGGATGGATGGATGAATGAATAATTGGATAGAGGATGGGTTCAAGGATGGATGAATGGATAGGTGGGTAGATAAATGGGTGGGCAATGAATGGATGAGTAGAGGACAGATGGATGAATAGAGGATGGACTGATGGATGAATGATAGGTGGATGATGGATGGATGGATAGGTGGATGAATAGAGCATGGATGGATGGAGGAATGGATAGAGGATTAATGGACAATGGATAGATGGATGGATAGAGAATGAATGAATGATGGATGGAGGATGGATGGATGGATGGTAAATGATGGATGGCTGGATGATGGATTGATGGATGGTGAATGGATGGGTAGATGGATGAATGGATGATGGATGGATGGGTGATAGATGGGTAGATGGATAATGGATGAATGGATGGATAGATGATGGATGGATGGATGGATGGATGAAGAATGGACGATGATTAATGCAAATGCTTGGCTTAGCTTAACTCAGGTACAAATCACCCAGAGTTCTCGCTTCAAATCAGTCACTATGTTCCAGGAACAAAGCCTAGAGATCCCAGACCTCTCTGGTTCTTCAGGCCAAACCAGACATTACAAGACGCTTCACGTCAGCTATTCTTACACCATGGGGTCCCTGGCCCAGCTCAGCAGAAGGACCAAGCTGCTGACCACCCACCCATCTGTTCCCACTCACTAAGGCAGAAACGCTTCTTCCCAAAATGAATGAAGCTGCTGTTGGCAGGATTTGCAAAGACACTTCCTTTTAACCAGAACAGCTATGAAAGAGACTTTGTAAACTATGAAAGGTTGTACTAAGAGTTTTAAAAGTGAAAATTTAAACTAAAGATTATTGAAATGCCTGACAGCCCAGGCGAGCCGGCCAACTCAATCTTGGCACACAGAAATTGGGGGCCAGATAATTCTCTATTGTGGGGAGCGGTCCTGGGCAATGGAAAGTTTAGCAGCATCCCTGGTCTCTAACCACTAGATGTCAGTGGCGGTCACCCCTACAGAGTTGCGACCATGAATGTCACCAGACACTGCTAAATGTCCCCTGGGAGGCAAACTCACCTCTGGCAGAGAACCACTGGCTTAAATGAACAAAGCCAACTAATGAGCACTGTGGGGACCCAAGGAGGCTATGACCCCATCTGAAGGAGACCAGCCGCTACTCCATCACTGCCGCAGGGGACAGAAGCCCAGTGCTGCCGGAACTTCTGAATTTTCCAAACAATGAAACCCAGATATTAAATGTGAAGTCTACCCATGTTTTGTTTTTGTTTGAGATGGAGTCTTACTCTGTCACCCAAATTGGAGTGCACTGGTGTGATCTCGGCTAACTGCGATCTCCAAGCTTCCTGGGTTCAAGGGAATTATCAGGTCTCAGCCTCCCGAGAAGCTGGGATTACAGACATGTGCCACCACACCCGGCTAATTTTTGTATTTTTAGTAGAGACAGGGTTTCACCATGTTGGCCAGGCTGGTCTCAAACTCCTGACCTCAAATGATCCATCTGCCTTGGCCTCCCATAGTGCTGAGATTACAGGTCTGAGCCACTGTGCCCAGCCTACCCATGTTTAAACTTTAGGAACCAATTCTTAAAAATTTTGAAGGCTATAATGGCCAGTCTCTCCTGTGGGCTCAGGAACCATTAGATTGCACTTTCTGGTATAGTTAATGTAATTCCTGAAATGACAAAAGAATACCACCACCCCCTCGCCATAAAAGATGAACCCTTGGGGAACAGTTAGCAGACAACAAAGAGGTAAACCAGTGACGAGACACAACAGCAAGGGCAGTGTCTGCAGGCAGCATCCTGGTGGGCTGGTGTGCACTCCAGAGTTAGTCCTGGGTTCAAATCCCAGCTTCACCTCTCAGACATCTCATCTTTGAATTTTCAAAGACTAGTTCAGGGTTCAGATACACATTAGGAGGGAGGGAGAGAGATGGATGGATGGCAGATGGAGGGTGGATGGATGGATGGATGGATGGATGAATGAATGAATGGATAGAGGATGGGTTCATGGATGAATGGATGAACGGATGGGTGAGTAAATGGATGGATAGGTGATGAATGGATGTGTGATAGATGGATGAGTAGAGGATGAATAGATGAATAGAGAATGGATTGGTAGATGAATCATGGAAGGATAGAGGATAGATGGATAGAGGCATGAGATATGGATTAAGACAAGAGTCTCAGTAAGTCCCATGAGCCTCAGTTTCCCAGTCTGGAAAACGGAGATGGTAACAGTAGTCCCTACTTCATGAAGTTTGAGTCTTACAAGATGCTGAGCAAGGGCCTGGCCCAGTAGGTGGTAAAGAGGAGACACCACCAATATTATGTTGAATGGAGGTCCTTCCAAAGTAAGTCCACCTGGAAATTGTAAATATGGCCCAATTTGGCAAAAAAAAAAAAAAGGTATTTGCCGATGGAATCAAGTAAAAGATCTCGAGATCATCTCGGATTAACCTGGTAGGCACATCCAATGTCAAGTGTCTTTATGATGGACAGAGGAGAGACACACAGAGTGGAATGCCACATGAAGGAGGAGGCAGATGGAGTGAGGCAAGGCTAGGAAAAGCCAGGCACAGCCAGAGCCACCAGAAACCAGGACAGAGGTAAGGAACAGATTCTCCCTCAGGGCCTCTAGAAGGAACAAACCCTGCCAACATCTTGTCTTTTTTTAAAAAAAAATAATAATTTTAAAATTTTTTGTAGAGGTGGGGTCTTGCTATGTTGTCCAGGCTGGTCTTGAACCCCTAGCCTCAAGCAATCCTCTCACCTTGGCCTTCCCAAGTACTGGTATTACAGGTGTCAGCCACCAAGCCCAGCTCCTACTGACACTTTGATTTCAGAACCCTGGCCTCCAGAACTGGGAGAGAATAAATTCCTATCGGTGTAAGACATCATGTTTGTGCTGATTTATTACAGTGGCCTTACACCTCTCTTTTTACTGAGGAATAGAAAACAGGGCTTTCCAACACCAGCCATGTGTACTGCCAGGGGGACACAGGATGGACGATTTAAGGGATTTAATTTTTTATCTTCAAAATTAGGTATTTTTTGGTCAGGCATGGTGGCTCACACCTGTAATCCTGGCACTTTGAAAGGCCGAGGCGGGCAGATCACAAGGCCAGAAGATCAAGACCATCCTGGCCAACACGGTGAAACCGCATCTCTACTAAAATACCAAAAATTAGCCAGGTGTGCTGACATGCGCCTGTAGTCTTAGCTACTCAGGAGGTTGAGGCAGGGGAATTGCTTGGACCTGGGAGGTGGAGGTTGCAGTGAGCTGAGATCATGCCACTGCACTCCAGTCTGGTGACACAGCAAGACTGTGTTTCAAAAAAAAAAGGGTTTTTTTCTAATATGTTAGAAACAGTATAACGAGACATGGTGGTTCATGCCTGTAATCCTAAGGATTTGGGATGCTGATGCAGGGGGATTGCCTGAGGCTAGGAGTTCGAGACCAGCCTGGACAACATACCAAGACCCTGTCTCTACCAAAAATTAAAGTTAGCCAGGCATGGCGGCTCCTGAAGATCTCTTGAGCCCAGGAGTTCAAGGTGCAGAACTCAATGTGGCGGGGGTGGGGAATGGGTGGGGGTGGGGGTGGGGGTGGGGGGGTGGGCGGGGGTGGGGATTCTGGTCTCCCCTGGTCACTTGGAGCCTCACGAATCTCCAGCCTGGAGCGTGACCCACCCTTCTCCTGAAGCCCCTTGCTGGGTTTGGAGGTCACTTTTGGTTTATAAATGGGGTTGGTGTTCATTTGGGACTGAGTCCATTCCCATGAGAGCTGGTCACGTGCACGCCATCATCTGAATGCTTGCTCTCTCTGCCTACTATCTCCTCCATTATTTGCTTGACCATTTTCTTTTAAATTTACTTCCTTCTCTATCCTTACATTTATTTTAATAGGAAACTTTCTCTATCTTAAGTGAAAAATCATCTTCACTTGCCATAAATAGATGGCAATTGTAAATATAAATACAAGGAAAACGGTATTACCACATACTAGCTAGACGCTTGGGCCTACCGAAGGTGCTGGGGCTGGGGTCTGCTCTCTGTGGTTAAAGGGCAGATTGGCAAGGGCCAGTGTATATTAAGGACGCTGGGGGTTGGGCGTGGGGGCTCCCGCCTGTAATCCTGGTACTTTTGGGAGGCCAAGGCAGGTGGATTGTTTGAGCCCAGGAGTTCAAGACTAGAGACTACTGGGTAACATGGTAAAGCCTTATTTCTACCCCCATTCCCCCAAAAGAGAAAACAAACCCAGGCCAGGCTTGGTGGCTCACACTTGCAATCCCAGCACTTTGGGAGGCCAAGATGGGTGGATCATCTGAGGTCAGGAGTTCAAGACCAGCCTGGCCAACATGGTGTAACCCTGTCTCTATTAAAAATTTAAAAAAAAATTAGCCAGGCATGGTGGTAAGCACCTGAGGCAGAATTGCTTAAACCCAGGAGATGGAGATTGCAGTCAGCCAAGATCAGACCACTGGGCTACAGGAGTGAGACTCTCTCTCAAGACAAAACAAAACAAAACCCAAAATCAAAAAAAAATGCAGGCGTGGTAGCACATGCTTGTAGTCTCAACGATTTGAGAGGCTGAGGTGGGAGGACTGCTTCAGCCTGCAAGGAAGAGGCTGCAGTGAACTGAGATCACACCACTGTACTCCAGCCTGGGTGACAGAACCCAGTGTGGTGGGGGAAATCCTGAAACCCATGATCCCCATGGCCTCCAAGATCTCAGCTCACCACAGCTTCAACCTCCTGGGCTCAAGAGATCTTCCTGCCTCAGTCTCCCAAGTAGCTGGGACTACAGGTATGCATCACCAAGCCCAGTTAACTTTTTGTATTATCTGTAAAGAAGGGGTCTTGCCATGTTGCCCAGGTTGGTCTCAAACTTGAACATAAGTGATCTGCCTGCCTTGGCCTCCCAAAGTGCTGGGATTACAGGCGGGAGCCACCATGCCCAGCAAAACACAGTTTAAATGGTCTCATTGTTTTCTTTTGCAAGGACAGACAATAATTTAATAAACCCTTTCTCAATCAACATATTATAGTTTGTTCCAGTTTTTTTTCTATTTTCTTTATTTTTTTGTAGAGACAGAGTCTCGCCATATTGCCCAGGCTAATCTCGATCTCCTGGGTTCAAGCAATCCTCCTCCCTCAGTGTCTCAAAATGCTGGAATTACAAGCATGAGCCACTGTGCCCAGCCTGTTCCAGGTTTTTATTATTTAAATAAAACTATACCGAACACTAGCACATTAGGGAAGAAAACAGGGTGTAGTAATTGCCAGGCACAAATACTTAACTATTGTTCCTTGTTTATTTAATGGGGACATTAGAAGCAAATCTGATCCCTGTCCCAAACAAAATGAATCATTCTCGGAGAGCCGATGTCATTGAGACAGAGACTAGCAGTGCTAGATTCTCACATGGGACCTAGGCCAAGACTCCCACACACCATCCATTTGTCAACTGACCCATAGAACTGCTTTTTTCTAGACCCCAAGTTATCTTCGGAGGAGCTGCCAGAATTTCAGCAACCTCAGTGCTATTCTGGGGCTCTAAAGGGGTGTGGGCGTGGGAAGGAAGGGAAACTTTCCACAATCCTGTCCTGGTGTTTTCAAAAGAGATTAACCTTGAACACTGAGGCACATCTAACACAGAAGAAAAAGTGTTTCTGGAAGCACGGTGTCCTGACCAAGAATTTTGTTTTGAGCGGTCCTGTTCTCAAGACTCAGTGTGTTTCTTGGCCATCGGTTGGATGATTCTGATCAATATCAATCGCTCACCACGGCAACCCTTCCAGGAAGAGCCTGAGTAAATCCACTGCCTCAATCACTCCCCCTGCCGCCAACCCTGCCCACATGTTCCTGATGAGGCCAACATCTCTACCTTCAGCTCCAAGAATCCATTCTTAGGGACCATAATTAAACCACCCTGTACTTTCCACAATGCTGACAGTGCTGCATAGCTCAGAAATGTGCATTACTTTTCTTTCTTTCTTTTTTTTTTTTTTTTGAGACGGAGTTTCACTGTTGTTACCCAGGCTGGAGTGCAATGGCGCGATCTCGGCTCACCACAACCTCCGCCTCCTGGTTTCAGGCAATTCTCCTGCCTCAGCCTCCTGAGTAGCTGGGATTACAGGCATGCGCCACCATGCCCAGCTGATTTTTTGTATTTTTAGTAGAGACGGGGTTTCACCATGTTGACCAGGATGGTCTCGATCTCTTGACCTCGTGATCCGCCTGCCTTGGCCTCCCAAAGTGTTGGGATTACAGGCTTGAGCCACCACGCCCGGCAGGAATGTACATTTCAACCTAAGCCAACCAATCTGAGTCAATGACACTCCATTCAGGAACTTAAGCAGGGAATCTACTCTGTTCTTTGGACAGAAACACAAAGAATGGAAGAGCTGGAACCTAGCCATGCTGCTGTCAACAAGCTGCATCCTATAGAGACAACGTGGTCAAGAGAGATGGAAGATAAGAAATTAGGTTCTAGAAAAATCTTCTGAGCACCTACATCTCATTGTACCTGAAGCCTGTATTCCTGAACTTTTCTTTTCTTTTTTTTTTTTTTTTTTTGGAGATAGAGTCTGGCTCCATCTCCGAAGCTAGAATGGAGTGGTGTGATCTCGGCTCATGGCAACCTCTGCCTGCTGGGTTCAAGTGATCCTCCCACCTCAGCCTCCCAAATAGCCGGGTCTACAGGGTGTGCGCCACCATCCCTGGCTAATTTTTTCTGTATTTTTAGTAGAGACAGAGTTTCACCATATTGACCAGGTTGGAGTTGAACTCCTGACCTAAAGTGATCTGCCCACCTTGGCCTCCCAAAGTGCTGGGGTTACAAGCATAAACCACCACACTCAGCCTCCCTGAACTTTTCAACATTGTGAGTTAATTGCTTTCCCTTTGGTTTAAGCCAGCTTGGGTCACTTGCAATGAAAATGGTCTTAGTTATACAGCACTTTTCTACAACACAAACCAACCACCTAGAATAAAATTCATTTTCCTCCTGCTTTTTTTTTTAAAAAGAAGGTGGGGCATTCAGAGAGCAGAAATCTGTCCTGACCAGAGGAGAATTCCTAACAGATTCCATTGGTACCCAGGCAGGCCACTCCACAAACTCAAGGTGTGAAGCTTACATAGCTGCTCCTCCTCATTGAAACCCATGATCCCCATGGCCTCCAAGGTTTCCTGGAACATCTCATCATCCTGGGCTGCAGGGATGGGCACGAAGCCATTGGAGAGGAAGGTGTAGTTGTTGAAGCCCTCCAAAAGCAAGTCACCTAGAAGGAGAGGAAGAGGGGCCAGGGTCAACAAGACACACTTTTAATTTCAACATGACACGGAGCTCTGGTCAAGGGTCTGGGGCATCATAATTCCTTTCCCTTTCTCAAGGCTTGGACCGTTTAAAACCCTCGTGCATCGTCATGTAGATGGCCTCATCAACCACTGCCAGCCTTGCACAGTGGTGCAGGTTGTGCACTGCTCCAGTGACTGGCAGCTGATATCCAGCCTTTGCTCTACTTGCTAAGCCACAATCCCTGGCATGAAGGTGCATTTACCTGGAGGAAGGGATGCCTTCACCTCAATTGTCCAGAGGCCCCTGCCTTCAGAGACTAAGCTGTCACAACAGTTAGATCAACCTTTATACACCTTTGTTTTTATTTTTTTAAGACGGAGTCTCCCTCTGTCATCCAGGCTGGAGTGCAGTGGTGCGATCTTGGCTCCCTGTAACCTCCACCTCCGAGGTTCAAGTGATTCTCCTGCCTTAGCCTTCCAAGTAGCTGGGATCACAGGCATGCACCACCATGCCTGCCTGGTTAGTTTTTGTATTTTCAGTAGATACAGGGTTTCACCATGTTGCTCAGTCTGGTCTCCAACTCCTGACCTCAGGTGATCCACCCACCTCGGCCTCCCAAAGTTCTGGGATTACAGAAGTGAACCACCGCACCTATCCTTATTCATCTATTTATAAGATATTTAGGCAGGAGAATCTCTTGAACTCGGGAGGCAGAGGTTGCAGTGAGCCAAGATTGTGCCACTGCACTCCAGCCTGGGCGACAGGGTGAGACTCCACCTCAAAAAAAAAAAAAAAAAAAAAAAATTCAAACAGGCACATGAGTTTTAAAAATCAATCACCACCAAAGGTTTATAATGAAAAATACCATTCTCCTGCCACATCCCTTCTCCAGCTCCTACCTTACTCCATAATACCTACTTTTTCTCTCTTTTAGCTGCTTTTTTTCTGGCAGTTACCACTACCTCTCTGTAGAACAGGCTTGCTATATATACTAGCCTATTATAATGTATATACCGTTATGTATTATATATAATAGGCCAGGGGTTCCCCAACCCCCAGGCCTTAGACCAGTACGGTCCATGTGAGGAACCGGGCCGCACAGCAGCAGGTGAGCGAGTGAAGCTTCATCTGAATTTACAGCTGCTCCTGATCTCTGCCTCACTGCCTGAGCTCCGCTTCCCATCAGATCAGTGGCAGAACCAGATTCTCACAGGAGCCTGAACACTATCGTGAACTGCGAATGTGAGGGATCCAGGTTGCGCGGTCCTTATGAGAATCTAATGCTAATGATCTGTCACTGTCTCCCATCGTGCCCAGATGGGACCGCAGGAAAATAAGCTCCCACGGATTCTACATTAATAAGGTGAGTAGAGAAATTATTTCACGATACATTACAATGTAATAATAAAGTATACAGTAAATGTAATACACTTGAATCATCCCCAAACCATCCCCCACCCTGCCTGCCCAATCTGTGGAAAAATTTTCTTCCAGGAAACCAGTCCTTAGTGCCAAAATTAGGTCGGGGACCGCTGTAATAGGCTATTTCTGGATACATCAAGTTTAGATATTATCTAGTGACTTCCTGCTATGGTAGATGAAATGTAGCTTTCTTATACCACTTTTCCTTTTCCCCAGCTATTTTTTATTTTCTTTTTGAGATGGAGTTTTGCTCTTGTTGTCCAGGGCTAGAGTGCAGTAGTGCGATCTTGGCTCACTGCAACCTCTGCCTTCTGGGTTCAAGCAATTCTCCTGCCTCAGCCTCTCAAATAGCTGGGTTACAGGCACCCACCACCACACCCAGCTCATGTTTTGTATTTTTAGTAGAGGCGGGATTTCACCATGTTGGTCAGGCTAGTCTCGAACTCCTGACCTCAGGTGATCCACCTGCCTTGGCCTCCCAAAGTGCTGGGATTATAGGCATAAGCCACCATGTCCAGCCACCCCCAGCCATTGTTAGTTGAATCAATACCTAAGGCTTATATCAGGGGTTGACAAATCTGGTCCCCTGTTGTTTTTGTAAATAAAGTTTTATTGAAACACAGCTGCTCCCATGTTCTCGTTTATTTCTCATGGCTGCTTTCTCACTAGGCAACAGAGTTGAGTAGCTGCAACAGAAACCACGTGGTCCTCAAAGTCTAAAGCATTTACTGCTGACCCTTTAGTGAAAACAGTTTGCCAACTCCTTGTTGATATTATGACCTTAGATACTGTTTTCTGTAAAACTGCATCCTATGATTACATTTCCTCTGCTGTTATTCACCTTCAAATTTATCATTGCCTTTCTTTCTCCCGCACCATTTGCTTTTATTACACCCTCCAATACATAAGGATCCTCTTCCAGATCAATCTTTAATTAGGGTGGATTTGGTTATATTTTTAGAGAGATGTCAGCAAGATATTTTTCTTTTAAAACAAAGGTCTTTTATGGGTCAACTCACTTGGAAGCTACTTGATAAACTCGAGGCTAAATTGACCCAAGACAGCAGTTAACTCAATTTTTTGGATTAACTTAAATGCCTGATTCCTCACGAGGATTGAGGTCATTGCCAAGACTTCATTATCCTTAGTATGGATACATTTAGAAGTATTTGATTCTCTCTAAAAGCCTGACATCTTTCCAGTTCTATCATTCAGAATACAAAGGGTTCCCAGGAATTTAGTTGTGAGCCCTATACTTGCCCATTTCTGGAAAACCAGAGGCACAAAGCACAAAACCAGAACCCAAGTTACCAGACAACCAAGCTCTTTTCTTTGAAACCAAATAAAGAGAAGAGGAATGTAAACATTTTTCCCTGGCCCATTCCACAGGGTCCTGCACGGAAATTGCTGATGTACCATGTTTGCTGGTATATAGCATCCATTCAGCATTCCCCCTTTACCCCAAATCGCTCCACCTCATGCCCTACGCTCCAGAGAGCCAGCCATTAAGGAAATTTATGTTTATTTTTAGAGACTGAGTCTCACTCTGTTACCCAAGCTGGAGTGCAGTGATACAATCTTAGCTCACTGCAACCTCCACCTCCTAGGTTCAAGTGATTCCCCTGTCTCAGCCTCCCAAGTAGCTGGGATTACAGGCGTGCACCACCACACTTGGCTAATTTTTGAATTTTTGATAGAGACAGGGTTTCACTATCTTGAGGAAGCTGGTCTCCAACTCCCGACCTCAGGTAATCCACCCTCCTCGGTCTCCCGAAGTGCTGGGATTACAAGGATGAGCCACCGCGCCCGACCCTGGAAATTTAAATAATGGATAATGCCAAGCTTGGCAATACACTTCAACACAGTGAAGTTCTGAGCTCACACAGATCCTTTTGGCAACTGTCTTAACCAAAATAACTAACCTTGGCCACAAAAGAGACGGGAAGCAAAGTCTGTCTTGTTCTCACAAAATTTTAGACTTAAAATTTATTACTAACATGTATGTAGACTCCGCTACATACAGATGGCCACTGATCCATCTCTTTTTTAAGCTGTGTGGTTTGTATATATTTTTAAGAGATAGTAAGCAACTGCATGTCTATAACTTCCTACTGAAATTTGGTATACAGTGTGTCGTATTTACATAACAAAATATTTTCCCTACAACAGAGGTCAGCAAACTTCTGCACACTTGCAAATAAAGTTTTTGTAAATAAAGTTTTATTGTAACACAGCGATGCATCTGAGTTCACTGCTTTATGTGTTGCCTGCACTCATTGGTTTATGTACTGTCTGCTCACTGGTTTATGTGTTGCCTGTACTCACTGGCTTATGTGTTGCCTGCATTCGTTGGCTTATGTGTTGCCCGCATTCATTGGTTTATGTATTGCCTGCATTCGATGGTTTATGTGTTGCATATACTCACTGGTTTATGTGTTGCCTGTGCTCACTGGTTTAAGTATTGCCTGTGCTCCCTTGTTTATGTGTTGCCTGTGCTCATTGGTTTAAATGTTTCCTGCATTCGCTGGTTTACATGTTGCCTCCATTCGTTGGTTCATGTGCTGCCTGTGTAAACCGGTTTATGTAGTGCCTGTGCTCATTGGTTTATGTGTTGCCTGCACTCACTGATTTATGTGTTGCCTGCACTCATTGGTTTATGTGCTGCCTGCACTCATTGGTTTATGTGTTGCCTGCACTCATTGGTTTATGTGTTGCCTGCATTCGCTGGTTTATGTGTTGCCTGTGCAAAGTGGTTTATGTATTGCCTGTGCTTATTGGTTTATGTGTTGCCTATGGCTGCTTTTGCATTACAATGGCAGAGTTGAATAGCTGTGGCAGAAGCCATGTGGCCTGCAAAGCCTAAAAGACTTACTATCTGGCCTTCTACAGAAAAAGTACCCCTATTCTACAAAGTCACCAGCACAACATGTATAATGAAAAGTGCTTAGCCCCACTGCCCCTGCAAATTCCTTATAAAACCAGAATGCATCTTATATACTTACAAGTTCTATAAATTGGCAAGTTAGGCAAATGTCTTTCTCCCTTTCCTTGAAGGCATAGATTGTGTCTAGTTGGACTTGATGTTCTCTGGTCTAATTAGACATGAATCATTACTAATCTAATGTCACATGGTGCTCAGTAAATGAGAATGATGGAACAAAAGCCACACTCACTCACTCACTGGGAGGAGATGAAGAACTGCTCATCTGTCACTCACAGACATAGGACTTTCTGGCAGGATCTCGGACTCTGTTTTAGTAGCCAATCAGTGAACCCTGGATCCTGACAAAAGGGAGACTCCAACTATGCAATCACATGTCATTGCTAGTCACTTACTTTTCATCTTCTCCTTGGCTCCAGCAATCATGTAGTAAAAGATGTGAAATGTCCTCTCGTCTCTGGCTTGGCGAATGGCCCGTGATTTTTCCAGCAGATCTGGTCGGAGGGAGTTAGGGATTCTGGGATACTGCGGGTATTCCCCTTACAGAATTCTGGCCTTGCACCTCCATCCCTGTCTTACCCAATTCCCAAGGGTTGACTTTCCAGTTCTGACCCAGGGATCGGCAATGTCTAATTTGGACCATAGCCCTGTGGACAAATGGAACCACTGGGTGCTGCCAGCAGACCTCAGATGAAGAAGGGAGGGGAACAGAGTGAAAAGAAAAAACATAAAAAGACCCCAGGAACATGGTAATGGTAACAAGATGTTATCCCAACAGCCATCACCAGCTCCTCCTCTTTAAAAAGGAACACAAATTATGGTACCCTCTATGATTTGTGATTCATTCCTATGTAAAACGATAAATATAAATTGTCTCACTTAAGACTCACAAAGTATCCTCAGAAATAACTGCAACTATTAGCGCTTTCAATAGGGGGAAACTGAAGCTCAGCAACGTGAAGTTCTTTCTCAAGATCATACAGCTAGAAAGTGGCAAAGCTGTCTTCCATGTCCTCTTTTCCAAGATTGGGATATGATGGGACTGAGGGGAAGGGACTGTAAATACGTCACAGTGATTAATTTCAGGAGAACTGCTCTGCCATGGGGGTGGCAGGAGGGAGAGTAGAGGGGAGGGCAGGTGAGGGTGGCATGAGATCACAGGGTCCAGGGTGATGGGAGAGGGCAGCTGGGAGGCTGGGCTAGTGTACTGGTGGAATCCTCAGCACTGAGCGTGATGGTGCAGAATGAGGAGGCTAGATCAGCAGACCTTGTCTTCTTCAAGTCCTAAAACCAGCTAGCAGTGCCTGGGCTGCCATAACCCATGTCCAATCCGAAAAGCAGTGATTCTCAGACTTTCTCATGGTCCATCAGAATTCCTAGAGGGCTTATTCAAACCCAGCTTGCTGGGCTCCATTACCTGACATTTGATTCATAAGATCTGGGGCAGGGCCTGAGGTGTGCGTTTTATACATATATATATACGTATGTATGTATGAGACAGAGCCTTGCTCTGTCACCCAGGCTGGAGTGCAGTGGCGCTATCTTAGCTCACTGCAACCTCTACCTCCCAAGTTCAAGTGATTCTCCTGCCTCAGCCTCCTGAGTAGCTGGGACTAAAGGTGAACACCACCATGCCTGGCTAATTTTTGTATTTTTAGTGGAGACAGAGTTTCACTATGTTGGCCAGGTTGATCTCAAACTCCTGACCTAAAGTGGTCTGCCCACCTTGGCCTCCCAAAGTGCTGGGATTACAGGTGTGTGCCACTACACCAGGCTAATTTTTGTATTTTTAGTAGAGACAGGGTTTTGCCATGTTGGCCAGGCTGGTCTCGAACTCCTGACCTTAAGTGATCTGCCTACCTTGGCTTCCCAAAGTGCTGGGATTACAGGCGTGAGCTATCATGCCGGCTGAGATGTATATTTCTAAAGAGCTCCCAAGTGATGCTGATGCTGCTGGTTTGGGAAACATACTTTGAGAACCACTGATCTAAAAGGAAGGCTGAGGCTATGCCAGGGGCTTGCTGTGAACACAGGAATGAACTGCTGAGAGGTGTGTGCAGGGTGCAGGCCGAGAGAGCCCTGGCTCTGGACTTGACCGAAGTCTACAGCCCTCCCACCTGACGGACAGCAAGCGGGGCGGGTTTGGGCAAATCAAAGCAGAAAAGTAGAAAAGGTTAGGTTAACAGTAACACAATAGCCACCACCTATGTGATGCTCACTTTGGGCCCAGCACGTGCCAAGGGCTATGCATATTACTAGCCATATCATTTCATTTAACCACTGCGCCAGCTCCACAAAGTAGGTGTGATCACCCTCATTTTCTGAGGCAAAACTGAGGCCCAGAGAGCTTCCATGATTTTCCAAAAGCCCCACAGCTCAGACGAGTGCAGTGAAGGGGGGCCACTCCACAGCCCACCATCTTATCCAGGGCACATAAAATGGACGAATAGGACCACTGGGCACTGCCAGCAGACCTTGGGTGCAGAGAGAAGCTAAACCACCCCCCAGGTCCTATTCATCGCCAAGCATGTGTTCCAAAGGAAGCCGTGAACATGCAGCATCCTTAAGGCCTAGGGCCGCCTGCAAAGCTCCCGAGGCTCATCAGTCACTGAACCCTACATCGTCCCCCCATTCCGGAAATTTCTAACTTGGTTCCACTTCACCAGCTAGATTCACGAAAGAGACACTACTTGTTCCCTGCGACACCAGCATTCCTCTGGGTAAATTCTGTTTTCATCAGTTTCCTACTTAAGAATGGAGCTGATCTCAGACCAACGCTCTAAGAGGACAACAGGTCCAGAATTTGGCCTTGGACAATGAACGTGTTCACAGATCCATTTCCCTTGGCTCTTGCAATGACTGTAGTCCATCATGGCTATCCCCATTTTTAAAAATGCTTTGTTAGAGACACGTTCTTGCTCTGTCACCCAGGCTGGAGTACAGTGGTGCAACCACAGTCAACTAAGAATGAAGTGAGATCATACAATAGACAGCACGCAGCCAGCCCTCCCTCTGTGCCCTGCATGACGCCTAGAGCTTTATGAGTTCATTCACTCTACTCTCACATTTCTGTGAGGCGGCTTCGATTCACCAGCACCCCCATTTTGCTGATGAGGCATAGAGAGGTGGAGTAACTAGCCCAAGGTCACTCAGCTAAGGGACAGGTCTTCTGAGCATCAAATGCAGGCCAGGCTGCTTGTTTGGGGTTCAAAGCAGGGGTCTGGTCTACACGTGTATAACCACTGCGCCACAATGCCTGCTGCTAAGGGGAAGATTTGTTCTGGAAGAAACCTAAGAGGCTGGAAAGACAGAGCTGGCTCTTGGACTCTCCCAGCCTCTGGGCAGGAGGTTGGTAGGGGGAGGGGTGCCCGTGTGGCCCAGGCTCAGGGAAAGGATGCAGGTCTCAATGTTGGCTCCCACGATGTAACCCGTGACGTCGAAGTTGATGCGGATGAATTTGCCCTGCCAACAGGAAAACACAGTTCAGGCTTTGCTGACCAGCTTCAGCCTTTAACCCCAGGCTGTGGGCAAGCAGGGAGGGAGCTGTTACAGAGGATGCGGGTGGGGAGATTCTTACAAACCCTCAGAGCCCCACAGGTCAACTTGTCAGGTGGAACCAACATCTGCTGAGCTGAACCACCCCGGCCTGACAGCAACAGAACGTGTGAAACGTGTTCACAGATCAATTTCATTTGGCTCTTGCAATGACTGTAATCCGTCATGGCTATCCCATTTTTAAAGATTATTTATTTATTAGGGACAGTGTCCTTCTCTGTCACCCAGGCTGGAGTGCAGTAGTATTATCACAGCTCACTGTAACCTTGAACTCCTGGGTTCAAGCAATCCCCTTTTCCCCATGACCTCAGCCTCCCAAGCAGCTGGGACTACAAGCATGCACCACCATACCCAGCTAATTTTTAAATTTTTTTTGTAGAGATGGGATCTCACTGTGTTGCCCAGGTGGGCCTCAGACTCCTGCACTCAAGCAATCCTCCCACCTCAGCCTCCCAAAGTGCTGGGATTACAGGAGTGAGGTACAACACTCAGCCCACTATCCCCATTTTAAAGCTGGGGAAACTAAGGCTGAGAGAGATCAAGTGTCTTGTCCAACATGACATTGCTCCTGAGAGGTAGAGCCCTAAGCTGAAGGAAGATTTCTCCATATTCAAGGGCTGGAGGCTCCCTCTCCATGCCCCATAGTGCTCTGAAACATGCTTCACCCACATCATCCAACTAAGGATTAAATCTTCTCTGCGAGACAGGTGAGTATGCATTGCCCACAGTACCCAAACCCAAGCAGGGACTGTGTAAGATGTCCTTTAGGCAGGATTGGATACTCGCCCTAGAGCTCAAGTATCTCCATTTGGAGAAGATGGTCCAATCTACCTGCCTCAGCTAAGCCATGAAAGCAATCCTTCACCTGTTGGCATCAACCCTTTTCCTGCTTCCTCAATAGGTGACAAAGGATTGCATCCGTTTCCCCAACCATGACATAACGTGGTGGGAAGCACTGACCTGTGTGGACACGATCCCCTAGGCTTGCTCAGTCCTTCACAAAAACCTTCAAACTTTCCCATTGGGACATGGGCAGTAGAGTGATTTGGGATGACCATATCCCAAATGCAGCCATGGAGAGCCAGCTGGTCACAAGCAAGGCCCAGGCGCCTTCCTTCACTCTCCTTCCCAAGGTGACAGGGACGCCAGTAAGCGGAGACGTTTTTAGGGGTGTGTCTTGCACTTATTCTCATTTATGATGGCTAGAGACTTGGCACTGACTTGTAACATGCAAACACAGCGCTTCTCAGTGGAGGTGGCACATCTGCCATGGGGATTTCGGGAATTAGTGGAAGTGATGATTTGGTTTGTCACATGGTGATGGGGAGGCACTGTTAGCAAACAGGGGGGCCAAGGATATTTTGGGAGTCCTGCAATGACCAGGATAGTGTCTACTGCCAATCTCTGTCTATATCCTATGACTCTTCAGTGTCTCAGATGACACTCTTGGAGGGAAAAACCAGTTTGTAATTAGCTAGGCTTAGAATCTCATCTTTATGCCTTTAAATTTTGTGCCTTTTTTTTTTTGAGATAGTTTGCCTCTGTTGTCCAGGTTGGAGTGCAGTGGTGTGATCTTGGCTCACTGCAACCTCTGCCTCCCGGGTTCAAGCGATTCTCCCACCTCAGCCTCCTAAGCAACTGGGAATATAGGCGTGCACCACCACGCCTGGCTAATCTTTGTATTTTTAGTCGGGGCAGAGTTTCACCATGTTGGTCAGGCTGGTCTCAAACTCCTGACCTCTGGAGATCTTCCCACCTCAGCCTTTCAAAGTGCTGGGTTTACAGGTATGAACCACTGTGCCTGGCCTAGAGTTTTATGCTTTTAAATAAAAGCATGGAAAAGTATTTAAAATGTTGTTCTAATATAAGAATATCCCATCTGTGTGACTCCAGAGAAGATTGTTCTTTGGTTCAGAGCCTCACTGAGAGTCAGCTGCCATTATGGAAAATCCCATCCCAACATCATCAGTCCCCGAGTCTGACCCTGTTCCTTGTATCTGTAGCTGTCGCAGTGGACAGACCTAAGTTTCTGACTCTTACTGTGCCTTCTGGTGGTGTGGTCCAGCCTAAGAACTGAAATGCTGAAATGCACTTAATTTATTTTTTTCTTGTAGAGATGGGGTTTCTCCATGTTGCCCAGCCTGGCCTCAAACTTTTGAGCTCAAGTGATCTGCCCACCTCAGCCTCCCAAAGTACTGGGATTACAGACGTGAGCCACCTCGCCTGGCCTGAAACGCACATTTTTATTATCAACTCTCTTTTGCTATTTCTTCTTCATATTACAGTTAGGGTATTACACTCATGTGTATTCATCCAATACATGTAGGAGATGATATTATCTATGATTCTAATAGAAGGCAAGGAAAGGAGACATTATGTAATCGCTACTAAAATGGGCCTTGGGGATCACAGGGTCAGGGACCACTACGTGAATATGCTCAGCAGAGGAGAGCTTTCTGCAAAGAGTCTTTTATGGGGCCGCATCCCAGTGGGGAACAGTTCAGAGATCCCCTGCTCCTGGAAGGCAGAGACCATGTTCCCTTAATCTTTTCTCACTAAAATATCTTTCTGGCCCTCCTATGGAAGCAACTGCTTCTTTTGTACAATAAAACCGTTTTTGTCTACATATCAACCACTCACTTTTAGAGTTCTCCTGCCCTTGTTGGGCTCAGGTAAAAACCTTTGCCTTGGAGCCTGGGGAAGTGTGCGTGGGAAGACACTGCCTCACTGACTGACTGTTCTTCAGTTGGAAGAAGCAGCTTCATGAAGGCTGGAACCACATCTGAACTATTCATCACAATTCTATGAACCCTAGCTCAGTGCCTGGTATACAGTAGGCACTTATAATAACAGCAAATTTAAAAAAAAAAAAAAAGAGAGAACCACGGTACATATAGAAGTGCCTACCATGGAGGTTGCAGTGAGCTGAGATCGCGCCACTGCACTCCAGCCTGGCGATGGAGTGAGACTCCATCTCAAGAAAAAAAAGAGTGCCTACCAGAATAACTGTACAGAAAAGGTACTTACTAAATATTTCTTGGAGGATGTGTGTGCCTGGTACATAGTTGACACTCAATTCATATTTCGCTACATAAAATGGTATTGGATGTAAGTGTCTAGCACATACCAGCTGGTCAAGAAATAATTTTTAAATTTTTATTTATTTTAGTAATAAAGATGGGGTCTCACTCTGTGGCCCAGGCTGGTCTTAAATCCCTAGGCCCAAGTGATCCTCCCACCTCAGCCTCCCAAAGTGCTGGGATTACAGGTATGAGCCACTGCACCCCGCTGATCAATAAATATTTGTTGAATGAACAGTGAATGAATGAATGAGAGAGTGAGAGGCAAGAGCCCTTGCAAGATTGTAAGGTACAACCCCTCTCTCCAGGATGAGACGCCCCCCCACCTCCTCACACAAACACTCTGCAGCCCCAGGGAGTAGACGACACCAAGCCTTTTCTAGAAAACCTGCATGGCTTTGCTACTTACGAATCGTGAGGAGTTGTCGTTCTTGACCGTTTTGGCATTGCCGAAAGCCTCCAGAATCGGGTTTGCTTGTAGAAGCTGCTTTTCCAGCTCTCCCTAAAATTCATTCACATCTAGTTATTAGAGAAAGCAACCTAGGTCCTGACAGTTCTATCTTGGATGGATGTTGCCACAAAACTCTGCCCTGAATGCACAGGTTCTCTCCTCCCTCCTCCCTCCTCCCTACTCTTAGACCTCTCCAGATTTATAGGAAGATTTCAAAAGAGAAGCAACTGTCTGAGCTCTCTAATAGCTAGGACATCTTCTACCTGGGAAGGTTACTTTTTTCAAGATTAGGGCCTGCTCATCTCTGCAACATCACTGTCACTCAAAGCTACGACCTTGCACAATGCCAGTGATGTCATTTACATCATGATGAATAGTGCCCCACGGAATTGTGCAGTGCACCACCTGGCCCACTGTACATAGCAGTTGCGCTGCTGTCCACGTTTAACAAGCAGCCTTCTTCAAGCTAAATCTCTAAAATCCTCCTTCTGATTATTTTAGTGCAGTTTTTTTTTTTTTAGTTGCAATTTTTCCTTTCTCAGGACTGGTTTTCTGAAGTCTCCTACGGAAGACAAAAAAGGAATGCACAAAACCCACCAGGAATCCTCTTAGCAGGCTGCAGAATAAAGCTTCGAAGCAGGTTGCCTGAGCTCCATTCACCGGGTTAAAGGCAGCTGAGACTGTACATAGCCCACCGGCCCCCTCTGCGGGGCGCCTGTGCACAAACGCGGTCACGTGATTAATCATGGCAGGAAAGGGCCCACGTGGTAAGTTAAGCTGGGAAAGCGAATGAGCTGCTCTTGGCCTAGCCTGAAAACACGGCGGTGGATGTGCCCTAAGGCCTCCAGGCCCTGGATTCTGGGAGTTTTTCTCCTTGTCCTGCCCTCCTGCCTTCCCTTCTTTATTTTTCCAGGCAGCAGGACTGGGCTGCACAGGAGCCGGGAAATGTCTAGAAGGGACAAGGATGGGCGTGGCTTCCTCCTCGTTCCTCCATCCCAGGAAGGCATCAAGGTATCTAGTCTTCAGGACAAAGCAGGGAGCTGCTATTTATTTTTATTTGTCCACACGGTCTCATTTTTGTAGCTCCCAGAGAAAGATGAAGCAAAAGCCTCATCCACATAAAAATCTTATTTACAAGTGGAATCGCCCCAGCTGAGACCAGCGGAAATTTGCGAGGAGCGCTGTGGGCGTTTCTTCCCTGGTGGGAAGATGACTAAGGAATCACTTTCATTCACATAAACTTGGGGTCTCCATGCTGTCTGAAAAAGGCTCCCTAGAATGGGGATTCTAGCAGGCAGGGTTGGAAAGTCTTTGCAAGAGAGCTTTAAAGGGGGAGACCTGGTTCAAGTCCTTCATTTTACAGATGACAGAACGGTGGCCCTGAGAAGTTAACTGACTCAGCCAACGTCACACAAGAGCAGATCTCACATAAGGACTCTAATTCTCTTTCTGTTCTGCAGCACTGTCACCCGGGGTCTAACTAAGATGGATTGAAGGGTTTCTTCTAGGCTGGGACCCACATGCCGGCCCCCACAAGCTCTGCGTTAGAGATGAGTTTACATGTGCGGAGGTCCAAGCAGGACCAGGTTATGCGTTGCGTAGCTGGGGCCTTACCACGCCACCAAAGCTAGTGCATCGCGACCTTGCGACCTCCAAGACTGTTTCTGGAGCCTTGAGTCAAGCAACCAGCATGCAACAGACAGACACGCACTGCACACGCATGCACAGGGCCACACAGGTGCACCAGGGACAGGGCCAGGGGAAGAAACTCAGGGATGATGGCAGGGAGAGAAGAGGGAGGCATGCCACAGCTGTGCCATCCAATGTCCATTGAGCCGGGGAAGCTCTGGGGCCTGACACTCCTAAAACACTCAGACAGAAGGGACAGACGTCTCTGTCTAGGTTGTTCCAGTCAAGGGTACCAGGGGGATGTGTTGAAAGGGTGCAGGGGTTCCTTCTGAACTGGAGAAATCCATTTCAGCCTGGAGCACAAGTCCGGGGATCCCAGTAGGAGTCCCACGGGTGGCAAATGCACCCCCACACCCTGCCCTGGCATCAGATGCCCACGGGATGGTACCTCGGTGCATTACTGATTTGAGTTGTGAAACTCCAGGGCCTACCCCATTTCTACCACCAGCTACGGGACTCAGTGGGTGCAAGAGGACCATGCAGATCTAAATCCACTCCGTGCCTCCCCTACACACCCGGAAAACACTCTCAGTTACTCACGTAGGCAAAAGATGGGCCTTGCTGTGGTTGAACAACACAGTATAAAACAAATGTCAGTGGCATTTCCATCACATGGACAGCAGGGGCTGGAGAACACATGGCTTCAACCCCCCAAACAGCCTGGAGTTCCCAAGACAAACTGCCCTTTTCCTACATACTGTTTCCTTTCTCTCTGTTTAGCTGCAGGGATGCAATCACAGCTCACTGCAGTCTCGACCTCTCAGCCTCTGGCAATCCTCCTGCCTCAGCCTCCCAAGTAGCTAAGCACAGGCATGCTCCACCATGCCCGGCTAATTCTCTTGATTTTTTTTTTTTTTTTTTTTTTTTTTTTTTTTGTAGAGACAGAGTGTCAGCATGTCGCCCAGGCTGGTTTTGAACTCCTGGGCTCAAGCCATCTTCCCGCCGCAGCCGCCAAAAGCTCAGCCGCTTCTTCCTTTCTCTAAGTTTTAGAAATCAGACATTTCAAAGGCCTTCATAATTACTGGGGCCACATTAGGCTCCTTAAAACAGTATCGAATGAGACCATGTCTGAGACGTGTTCACACACGCAGCCAAAAGCAGCAGCACACAGCAGGCCTGGATAAAGATGAGCGGTTACGAAGTATGAGCTCTTATTCTTCCTCCGTAGGGAAAGGGAAGGCCTGGAAACTGTAGTTTCACTGCCGTACAACCTTTAGGGCTGTTGTTCCCACTCATGATGGCTAGAAACCAACATGCTAGAGGCACTTCTAGGACAGGGAATCTTGAGTTTCCTGCATTTGTTCGGAGAAGGAAAGTTCCCCAAAGCCACGACCAGCGCCCAGCCCAGAGCTCCAAGGACCTCTGGACAAGCCAGCCATGGTAGCTGCCGCAGAGTCCCCTCTGAGGGCCCAAAGCGACATTTGGAATGGCAAGAACTGGAGACAGCCTATGCGGTGGTCAGATCTGCACCCTACTATCTTCCTGCCTGTGAACCTGAAGACAGAGGTACTGGCCAGTCCTGGTGGCCCCAGCACTCGCCCGGACCTCCAGGACAGATAGGGCAGAGCTGAGACATGAGGAGGAAGAGAAGGATAGGCCCTAGAGGGCGTCACTTCAGAAACCTGCCCTTCTTTTCCTTCCAGGCTCTTCCTCATACTGTGTCATCATCTGTTTATTTTGTGATTCTTTGAAAACTACACTCTCTTACCCCAGGTCCAGAAGCTCAGAGAAGAGAGTAACATCAGCTCTCAGACATATCCCTGAGCTCTCACCCCAAGTAGTGCCTGGCACACAGTAGGTGCTCAATCCACAGTTTCTGAATGACCCTGCCCTGAAGCCCATGGGCTGAGTGATATCAGCATCTCCATCCCAGGGACAGAGGGACACTGGAGGAATTCCTGGAGGAGTCAGGAAACCCAAGAGTATCTCAACCCCAGGGACGGTACAGAGATTCACTGAATGGAGCGCTTCTCAACCCAGGGCAACTGTCCCACTGCAGGGCACATCTGCCAATGTCTAGAGATATTTTTGGTTGTCACAACTGGAGGAGAGGGGGCTATCGGCATCTAGTGGGCTGAGGCCAGAGATGTTGCTAAACATTCTACGAAGCTCAGAGAAGCCCCTCCAAGGAATAATTATCTGGTCCAAAATGACATCAGTGCCACCCCTGAGAAGCCCCAACACGAAGGAAGAGCTCACTATCGAAGGGAGTGGGCTTATTCCCATTTCACAAAATGGGCCACCTTCTGGAGGGATGCTTTCAGCTGAGCCAAGGAATCACCCATCCTCAACAGGCCTGCTAGCCAGAAAAAAACTGTCCCTCTTTGCGTCTTCAGGGGAGGGGCAGTCAGACGGGACCTGAGTTCCTGCAACGATGCTCTGTTTGTATCTCGGTCAGCCTGCTGACCGAGCTGGAGACGGGCTGGCTAAGCCATGGCCTCTGATTGGGAGCTGCCACTCACCGTGATACTCGTGTCTTTCTTGCCCTTGTGGGAGGAGGCCACCACGGCCAGGTACTGAATGACTTTCTTGGTGTTCTCGGTTTTCCCAGCTCCAGACTCGCCTCTGAAAGACACAGGAACAGTGACACAGTGGACACAACTTATGCACACATTCCATGGTGACCTTTCCGCAGCTCCGTGAGCCAGACAGGATGATAATGACCACGGCTGCCATTTCCCACATGGGGAGACGGAGGCTCCCAGAGGGGAAGTAACTTTACCAAGGTCACATCTCTGGCAGTGAACTGAGCTGGGTCCCCAATCTAGGTCTGATGCTCAATCTATTCCTTCCACGAGGATGTAGAAAAGAATTCAGATGCAGTGCTGAGTGCAGAGGCTCATGCGTGTGATCCCAGCAATTTGGGAGGCCGAGGCAGGTGGATAACCTGAGGTCAGGAGTTCAAGACCAGCCTGGCCAATATGGAGAAACCCTATCTCTATCAAAAATAAAAAATTAGCCAGGCATGGTAGTGCATGCCTGTAATCCCAGCTACTCTGAGGCTGAGGCAAGAGAATCTCTTAGAACCTGGGATGTGGAGGCTGTAGTGAACCGAGATCGAACCACAGCACTCCAGACTAGGCAACAAAGGGAGGCTCTGTCTAAAAAAAAAAAAAAAAAAAATTCAGATACAAAGAGAGAAAAAGATGGCCGGGCACAGTTATACCTGTGATCCCAGCACCTTGGGAGGCGGAGGTGGGAGGATCATTTGAGCCCATGAGTTTGAGACCAGCCTCAGCAACACAGAGAGACCCCGCCTCTACAAAAATATTTAAAAATTAGCCAGGCATGGTGACACATGCCTGTAGTTCCAGCTGTTTGGGAAGTTGAGGCAGGAGGATCGCTTGAGTCCAAGAGTTCAAGACCAGCCTGAGCAGCATAGTGAAACCCTGCCTCTACTTAAAAAATTAGGAAAATTAACCAGGCATGGTGGTACACGCCTGTAGTCCCAGCTACTCAGGAGGCTGAGGTGGAAGGATGGCTTGAGCCCAGGAGGCGGAGGTTGCAGTGAGCCATGATCACACCACTCCCCTCCAGCCTGGGTGACAGAGCGAGACCTCATCGCTAAAAAAAAAAAAAAAATACAGGGTGAAAAAGAAAACCTTTCTTTTCCTACAAGGGTCCAAGCAGGTTTATTTGGAATTGTCTACTTTGAAGACATCATTAGCATTGCTAGAAATGGAAAGACCAGGCACGAGGCAGCCTTCAAGAAAGGACTTAAGTGCCTCTGGGGTACCAGGACCTCAGATAAAAGTTCAGAGAGCTTTCTTATGGAAAGAAAACTTTCCAAAAAGAACTGGTTACCCCATTCATCACTGGACAGATGCAAGCACCTTCATCCCCTGAGGGACCCCACCCTGTGTATCAGGAGGCTAGCTGATGATCTCAGCCACGTATCTAAGGCTAAACCCAGTTGAAGTAGTTCGCACTAAAGTGTAAATGACTGATGGGTTTAGATCAGCATGACATGGCTTGTCTTATCAAAAACGTATGTACTCCTGGTTTTTTACCAAAATGGCCTTTGTGAACTAGCTGCCTCTTTTGGCCACCAGAAATTATCACAATGGAACGGTTCCATCCAGATGCTACGTCTACGTCCCGCCACTCCTCGTGGAAGGTAAGGACAGGGCCTTGACCGAGGCTTCCATTGTTTATCGTCTTGTTTTTTAGTATCCTTTTGTTTTTTGTGCTTCCTTTCTGTGCCTCATCTCTCTCACTTTCCGAGCTCACTTAATAGCCGAAAATCTAAGAGAGACTTTTTTTTTTAATTGGGAAAAGAATTTGTTCACCCCGAGGTCAGCCCAAGGTTCTCCCTGCTGAACCGGTGCCACCAAAGCTAGTCCAGTCTCTGCCCTTCTTCCTAATTAGGAAATAAAGAAATTAATTTTCTCTGCCAAGGGCCCATTAATAACTTTGCTCATGGCTTAAAAAAGAAGCAGAAGAAAAGAGAAAGGGAAAAAGAAAAAAAAAGTGCCCTGAACTGCTAGGTCTAATTCTACAGGTCCCACTGTCCTGAAATCAAGTGTCTGATTGCCAAGGATGATGGAGCATCTTGCAGGGACGTTGTGTGGTCCCTTCCCTTCCCAGAGGCCTTCCTTGCCAATGGCCATGTTATTTCACATGGCCTCAGAGGCAGTTTAGGAGATGCGAACCACAAAGGCATATTTCCCAGGAAAGGGAAGCGTGTGTGTGTGTGTGTGTGTGTGTGTGTGTGTTTAAAAGAGAAGAACAGGGCCCAGCTCGGTGGCTCACACCTGTAATCCCGGCACTTTGGGAGGCTGAGGAGGGCAGATCACGAGGTCAGGAGTTCGAGACCATCCTGACCAACATGGTGAAACCCCAACTCTACTAAAAATACAAATATTAGCCAGGTGTGGTGGTGCACGCCTGTAATCCCAGCTACTCAGGAGGTTGAGGCAGTGGAATCGCTTGAACCTAGGACGTGGTGATTGCAGTGAGCTGAGATCATACCACTGCACTCCAGCCTGATGACAGAGCGAGACTCTGTTTCAAAAAAAAAAACAGGAGAACTGACCAGGTGAAGCAGAGCATTGGCCATGGTTATAATCCCGGCTACTCAGGAGTCTGAGTTGGGAGGATTCCTTGAGGCCAGGAGTTTGAGAGAAGCCTGGACAACATAGATCCCATCTCTTAAGAGAGAGAAAAATTGGCATTTGTCATCGAGGGGATGTAGGGGGAAGGGTCCTTTTGCTAATTGCTTTACATGAATTATTTCCTTTATTCTCCTCCTGCCTCCATGTTGTTATAGAAAAAGGAGTCTTGCCCAGAGTGGGTGAGCAATTCTCCCTAGGTCACACAGCAAAGCAGGGATACAGTCTGAAATGAAAGCCAGGTCTCTGATTCCAATGCAATCAGAATTCCTTTTACTGTATTTCAACAAGTTGTTCCATGACACAGCCCCGACCCTCTAGGGACTTGCTTTCTAAGGCCAGAAGAAGGGCAGGGCAAGGGGAATTGGTATTTGTTGGAGGCCTCCACAGTATGAGGCTTTGGGCTCACGAATCTTGTCATTTACTCCACCCAGCTGTCTAATGACAGAGTTTCACTATCCCCATCGCCCACCTGGGGAAGCGGAGGCAAAAGAGGGTGAAGTAAATTGCTCCAGCCCACAGTTGCTGTTGCTTTCACATAGATAGGAAATGGAGAGGCAGGATTCAAACTTAGGTCCACTTGCCACTGGAGCCCATGTTCTGACTCCTGCCCTTTTATTTTAACAAAACAGCAAAGGGGAAAGACAGAGTGAAGTCCCAGCCCCACTCCGTCAGAGTTCTTCCCCCTGTTCCAGGACTGTTCACTTGTCCGAATCAATGAACTGAGCCACTCAGTCATTCACACCTTAGTATGAATTACTTCCAGCAGGCTAATGTCAGAACTTCGCTAGACTCATTCTGAAGTGAAGGGGATGGATTCTGATTAAAGCAAGAGAAAGGAGAGAAACTTTGAGACAGAGAAAACCACTTGTGTAGGTGGTCCTGAGCCTATTCAGATCCTAGACAGGAATTGGGACAGTCGTGTGCACCAACAGCACGTGTGGAGCACACTTCATGCTGACAAACCGGTGCTCCTGGACTGCTGCTCCTCACTTCTCCTTTCCCACAACAATTCCTGCCTTCCACCCTGGCCTTGAAGCTCTCCTCTTCACAACAAAGACATCCCTGAGTGAGGTGGCTCATGCCTGTAATCCCAGCACTTTGGGAGGTCGAGGTGGGTGGATCACTTGAGGTCAGGAGTTCGAAACCAGCCTGGCCAACATGGCAATACCCTGTCTTTACAAAAATACAAAAATTAGCCAGGCGTGGTGGTGGGCACCAGCTACTCGGGGGGCTGAGGCAGGAGAATCACTCGAACCAGGAGGCGGAGGTTGCAGTGAGCTGAGATCGTGCCACTGCACTTCAGCCTGGGGGATAGAGTGAGACATGCTCTCAAAAAACAAATGAACAAAAAACCAAAGACATCAGCGTGCCCAGTCTGTGGCTGTGGTCTTCCATTTTGCCAGGGATGGGATGGGACGTAAACTTTGGAAATCTATCCCTTCCCATGTAGCTGCTGGGCTCCACTACTTCCAAGTTCTGTTGGGAAAAATAAATTATCCCGGCAGGTTCTGCCAAAGAAAACATCCCAAGCTCCAGGCTCGTGGGTGTCTGAAGGTTGACGAAGCTCAGGGCTGCTCCAGGAAAACCCATAGCTTAGCTTTTCTGACTCCTGACCCCAGGGGTAAAGATGCCCTTCTGGTCTGAGCACCCTCAACTCCTTTCTTATTTATTTCTTCTCCAGAAAGCGGTGTCTTCCTGGAGAAGAACCGGACTCATGACCCCGTGTGGCCTCCTGGCCTTGTAACTACCCCAATGCCAATTCTTTTTAATCAGTCCAGCCCCAGTGGCTAGGAGGAGCTACCCAATGGCCGCTTAACCCGTCAGCCAGGCTGGCATCATGACTGTGACCTGTACAGCCTCACAGGGTCACCCTGTGCTTGATTTAATGCTCTAGCGTTGTCATCTGAAATTCTTCATAAAGGCTCTGCATTTTCTTCCTCCTCTTCTTTTCTTTTTGAGACAGAGTCTTGTTCTATTGCCCAGGCTGGAGTGCAGTGTGTGATGTTGCTCACTGCAACCTCCACCTCCTGCGTTCAAGCGACTCTCCTGCCTTAGCCTCCCGAGTAGCTGGAACAACATGTGCCCACCTCTATGCCTGGGTAATTTTTATATTTTTAATAGAGATGGGGCTTTGCCATGTTGGCAAGGTTGGCCTCAAACTCTTAACCTCAAGGGATCTGCCTGCTTTGGCCTTCCAAAGTTCTGAGATTGCAGGTGTGAGCTACCGCACTCAGTCAGAATTTTCATTTTGCAAAATTTTACAAATTCTGCAGCTGGTCCTGGTTCCCAAGGTTGAAGCCCATTGCAGGCTGTGGTTTGCCATGGGTAGGAAAACCAAACTGTCTCTGATGAACCTCAGAGCTGTTCAGTCGCTGGTCTTTATGTAACTGGCAAGGCACTTTGGCATTTGTACTGTCCAACTCCTACACGTCCAGCAAAACCCCAGGCAGA